GCAAGAAATGCCACGATCCTGCAAGCACGCCCTGAAGGAGCTGCCAAAACTCAAGTGGGTAACCCTGCTGAAGGCAAAAGCTTGGATTTTTAAGAATAAGCTAATGCCTAAGTGCCTGCAGAGGACTTGGCGAATTAATTGATCTAGCTCTTAATCTGCGCTTTGCGATTTTTCCCTGTACTCGGGTGATATCAGCTCCAAACCCACAGGTACTGAAACGTATGCTGAGCTGCCTGTGGGTCCTTCAGTAAACCAGTGAGAAGTGCTCAGTCAGGCTTCTGGAAATTGGGATGAGGATTTTGCTGAAGCCCAACTCGCACAGTGCCCTGCATCCTTACTGCTCACTCTCTCTGATATTCAGAGGCCGGTTACCATGAGGGCAGCCGCCTTCGGAAACAGGAGGACAGTCCTGAGCCATGTCCTCAGGCCCAGCGCTCCTGCTGGGCAACAAAAATACACCCATCAGCCCTGGGGTATCACCGGGGCTTCCCAAAAACCCAACCGAGCTGAGACCTGGCGTGAGAGCCCCAGCTGGGGGTTTGTGCCTCCCCAGGGGCGCTGGGGAGGGGATACCGGCTCCTCTAACATTTGAGCCACAGCTTCTCCTTCGCTGCTGGGAGGGGACCTGGAGTGACTGTCCCTCTGCACCCGCTCAGGGCAGAGCAAACCCCTGCTCCTCCCCACTGCCCTCTCCGCTACATCCACCTGGACCCTGCCAATCCCACCTCAACGTCAAGACAAGAACACCCGCCTCCGTCTTGCAGAGACGAAGGGGCCCGTTCTCTCATCTCAGGAGCAAATACTCCGTCTGGGATCCCGGCTGTGACAGACCTTGGAGGAAGCCGACCGTGCCGAGCGACAGTGAAGTGGTCGAACCGCCTTCTGCAGGAAGCGCGGGGCCGGCGGCCACCTCCGCGGGCCGTATCACTGCGCGATTAACTTCTTACCCGACTCTTCGGGAAAGGCAACCGTCCTGATCTGATAACTGCCAAGGACAAGCCAAATACGCAGGGTCAATCTATGCACGTTTAATCCCCAGAAGGCAGATTAAGTGTATAATTGACCCATATAATCCATGTATCATCTCCAGTGAAATGTTTTCTATGTCCGGTTTAGGCAGACATGAGGCCCATAAGAAAGCGATCAGAGACACAGCATTACCATTGCAGTGGATTTCATCAAAGTTAGAGATGGCTTTTTAATCACTGATCTCAGAGACTGCTAGATTTAAGCAGATGAACTAGCGCTAAGCACATCTGGTTTAATCCTTATCTTCTACTCAGGCTGGTGTCTTCAAGAAGTACAAGGAGGAAAAAAATAAATTAATTTTTTTTTTAGGTCCTTGCAATCTTAGGAGCTTCTCTTGGTGTTTTGATCTCTCATATCAAAAGCATGTTTTTGTGGTTTTTTTTCGGTAAGATATTGAATTAATCATCAGAGAGAAAAATGCCATCTGCGCTATTTAAGGACTGCATCAGGATGCTGGAATTCGCAGGATCTCGGGGAGCTCACTTGACGTTCAGTAGCCTTTTGTGTACGTGCTACTCGCCTGCGGCTGGGGAGGAAATATTCTTGCTATGTTTTACATTACTGTTTACCAATTTATGAGGCAGAAAGGTTGGCATTCACACTATCTACTAGTTAATCACAGACTTTCTGGATCACGTATGTTCTGACGGGTTGGAACCCGTACTGCGAGTATCTAAGGGTAAAGATACACACACATACACGCGTATAAAAATAACTTCCACCAAAGGGCACAACCCTTACAAGTAAATCTCCCGCTGCCTTCAGACAGAATTACGGATGTATAAATTCTGATCCTACAAAATTCTGAGAGTCCTGAGCCAAAGGGAACCTGAATTTTGCAGGGTTGGTCTGAAGACTCAAGATCACTCCGATGGTATTTTCCTGTGTTTAAGATACACCCGCCTGTCTCTGCCTCATGCTTCCTATAAACTCTCACATTCTCCACGTCAACCCTGTTCCCTTTCCAGGGAAAAATCGATAAAATTTTACTTCCCATCAGGCACCACACAGAGTTTGTGATCCTCCTGTGTTTAAATCCCAAAGCACCCAGCCGTGCGCAGGAACGCAGGGAGCGGACGCTACAATGCTATTCCGAAGCTCTCTACCAACGGGCCTTATTACAGTGTTTTAGCTTTAAATGTTATCAAATTAGTGAGCCAGGCCAAGTAAATAAGTCATGTTACTCTGCAGTAAACAGCACTGCCAAAAAGCTAGTTAGGTTTTGATTACCAGCAGAACTCCACGATCAATCTGTTCGTTCAATGAGCCCAAGAATACAGATTTTTAAAATTAAGATGACTCTGTTTTGAGGAGGGCCGAAAAAAGCCCTGACTAATTTGCAGAATTAAGAGGATTAACACACAGACCACACAGAAATATTACAATAACCTTCTGCAAACACCGGTATCTCCCAAAGAGCATCGCCCCGTTCTGCAGGTGCGAGCAGCGCACGCGACGCAGGGTAAGAGATGGTTTCAGAACTAAGAAATCATGGCAAATGCTAAAAAAAATCATATTAACTCAGCTTCCGCTGGGAGATGGCCTAATGCACTCCGCAGCCTCTGCTCCTGGCAGGAAACAAAGGGAAATGAATGGAAACGCTGGGCAGGACAGTGGAGAAATGCGAGGGGCTAGGGTATCCCCGGAGCTGCAAACCCCTGCCACTGCTGCACTATATATCGCGCTGTATATCGCCACAGATCGTCCTCAGACTGGAGTCAGCGTTCGGCCAGGGTAAGCCGGCATCGCCGCGCTAAGCCAGCGGAGGAGCCGGCCTCCAAAGCGTTAATAATCTCATTGCCTGGAGAAACTCGGCGGCTAAGAGGATTGCCCCTCGGCCACGCTGGGGGAAGCGAGAACAAAATCAGGTCCAAGTCTAACTCAGCATCATAAATACCATTTTTGATTACTATTCTCCTCTTTCTTAGTAAGAAGGCAGCTAGCACCTGAAACGTCCTTGGAAAATAAGGGCTCGGCACGCCGCCCTCCCTGCGGGCGAACCAAGGGCCCCGCAGCTCGCCCAGCCCACGGATGCACGCTCACCGATGCGAGACAGGGCAAAGATGCCAGCGGCATCGGATCCCAACACCATCCCGCCGGCACAGGGAATGGGAATGGGAATGGGAACAGCCCCCACACGCTGCGGCTCCCACCTGCAACCGACGTGGGTCGGAACAGGCGGAGCAACGTAAAAACCCTACTCTCGGTTATTTTATTCTGCGTGGACCAGGGACTCGAGGAAAGCAGGCAGGGAATGAAAGGTTGTGCACTTTGTGCTTTCCACCAAGGTAGCTGCTCTTTTTTTCTTTTTCCCCCTTCACGTCAACTGTTAATTTGTTTAAAATATGGCTTGGAAAAACGAAGTACAAGCGGATCAACCCGAAAACAGTATTTGTGCTCATTACAGCCTTTGGAAAATTGGAAATAACGGCCCAAAGGGTACAAACACACCAACTGTGAATCACAGGGAAAGGATGAGGGAAAAGGCAGTGTGGGCATTGAAAAGAACAGTCCAGATGAGCTCTGGAAATTTAGCTGCTCATGGAATAAATTTCAACACAAACGAGCAATGCACTCGCAGGCCCGCTGCAGATGGAAGCGACCGTCTTTTGTTTTATGTTTTGTTTTGGTTTTTTTTTCTCCCCATGCCTGCTTGATGGGTGATTTGCGTCTGGTGCTCTGCGCTGCAAACTCTCCCCGGAGCGAGCACGCGCGGTGCCCGGAGGAGGCACTGCTGTGCTCCCTGCATGAATGAGGCATTCTCAGTGGATATGGGTCATGCTAGTAGATGTACACAGTAAGATTATTTGACTCTAATTCATGCCACTTGATATAATGTGATAAAACATTTGACATGAGAGATAAGTTCCATTTTAATCCGGTAAGGTACAGGGGAAAGAAAGAGTGGGAATTGTAAAGGAGGAAGAGGTTTCTAAGGGACAGGTAATGCGCAGAAAGAGAGGTATCGAGTGAAGGAGGAGGTTGGTTGGGGAAAAAAGCAGCTTTCCCTGCACACTGAGGAAGCAAAGGAGCGAGTAGAGAAAGCGAGGAAAGTTGTTAGAGTTCCAGAGCCGTGAGACTGAGAAATGGCACTGCTGAGAGATGAAAGGAAGGCAAGTAGGAACAGAAGCTGCTTCAAACAGAAATCGATATATGGACAAATACCCTAAAGGAGACTGAAACACTAATGCTACAGGCTGGCCGCCAACAGAAAACCTTCGCTATAGAACACTTACGAGGACAGAAAGGCTGTAATGCAACAAGAGCAACAGAAACAGAGATATCGGTTAACATGCATCCAAATCCAAAACAAATGGGCATCACAGGTCACTGTTCTCTTACAGTCCGATGAATTTATCTTGTGCAACACAAAAATAGCTCTGATCATTTGGGTCAGATCCTACCACGCCAACTTCATCAAGAAGACCACGTCTCAACTTCACCTTTGGTGTCAGACACCACAGGGTGGTCTTCCTGAAATACAAAGTCCATTCCTAATCAGCTCTGGATTGATTAATTAAATAATTTGAAAAATTAAAATTTAGTAGGCTTAATTTTCCGTCAGTTTTGGAGTGCTTGTCAAGGAAACACACTGCAAAATGGGCAGAAGAGATGGCCCTTAGCAAGCGCATCTGCCAAAAACCCGGCTCAAATTTTAACAGCGAGAACAATGACCAAGATGTTCTGTTACAGAGAGATCTTCCACAAGCTTAAACATAGTAAAGGGCTCTCTTAGAAGATGCTCTTCCCTCAAAATCCACGCACAGACAGACCAAGACACAGTAGAGTAGAGATTTAAAGCAGGCAGAGAGCAGATACGAGCCTTAGTCAGAAAGAAAGGAAAGATTTATTTATTTTTTAAAGCTATAACCAATAAGTTTTCTCAAAATGTGACTTATCCTCCTGTCTTATTTTGTCACATTTTGGGTCTCTCCTGCTTGGTGTCCAAGGAGGAGAAGGCATTTACTTACATCAAATAACCTTTCTATATACATCTCCTCATTGACCTTATCACGCAGGACATCCTGAGAGTGGCGGACAAATGTCACATAGGCATCAGCAACATCCATCCCCGGCTTCTGCATGGGGGAGAGAAGAAGAGAGAGAGAGAGAAACATCAATAGTAGCACAGGGGGGACTCCTCTGTGTAGCCTCCTTGCTGCTCTTCCTTCTTCTCCATCTCCAGCTGTCTCGCAGCTCGCCCTTTCCTTACCTGACGGACACGGAGTCCCGCTGCTTTGCCCAGCAAAATACCGTGTGCAGCAGCAGACCATGCAAAGACACCTGCTCCTTCTCTCCGTTTGCCCAGAGCGAAGCCGGTCGGAGGAATAAAGCTCCTCCTCGACATACCGCTGCCGGGACGTTCTCTCGCTACCTTTGGTGCTGTTGACCTAACGAGCGAACCAGCACGCTGGGCTGGGGATTTGTGGTTTTCTTGGGTCTTCTCTATGCAAACCCTCTGGTTTCTGAAGGCAGAAGGCTAACAGCCTGGGCTGGGCTCTTGCCGCTTCTTCTACGGGGTGAGGATGTGAGCAGTAAGCAGCGGGCGTTGCAGGAGGCACACCAAAATCACCCTTCTTGTCTTTTAGACCCCTGACTTCAGCTCACACAGTGCTGCTCTTAAGAACGAATTGGGTAAATGGTAAGTCGGGGGACGTGTGTCTACACGAATGTTTAAGCTGCTGCTAAACTGCAGGGAGCCTCCCCATGCTGTCACATCTCTGTGGCGCTCTGCAGAATTCAACAGCAACCTACAAGCCTGCAAGATTTTGGGATAACAGCTTTTCTTTAAAGAGAATGGGAACTGAGGTGGAAGGGAAAATACTTAAAAAAACCCCACTCTGAGTTCACATCGTTTGATATATTGGAATCAAACTTACCTCAAAGGAAAGCCATTAAAATACTGTAACATTAGTCATTACAAGAGCTGCCACAAAATCTTAAATTTCCATGGCACATTGTAAGTTTGTTAATAACTAGTGTCATTAGTTTCCATTACTGTGATTTACCTCAGATCACAGAGTTATCATTTCCCTGCAAGATACGATTGTCAGCCACTGCAAATTGAAGTTAGTTAACACATCTGTGTAATTTCCAGGGTGAAAATGAGGACAGTTTGGAAAGCAGTAGGAAGGGAGTTTTTTAATACAAAGCAAACAATTATCAAGCAAAGGGCCAGTGCTTGGCCCTTGGGAAGCCAGTAACGTTTCTTAACACCTATGGCAACAATGACAAGGTATTAATTTGAAAAACAATGAGGACAACACAAATGTGGCAGTAGTCAAGTGTTACACTTTCAAGCAATTTTCAGCACGCCGATCGCGCCCATTTCAAGGTGGCATCAAACGGATTGGTTTGTACCCAGACAATTGCAACGGCGTTGGCGGAATTGGATTTAACCGATGGTTTTCTGCTCGACACCAGGATATCCCCCCCTGTCCTCTAACAAAACCGGTTTTTCTTTCTCCTTCCCCTGGAAAGGCTCACGGACCATGGGACATCCTCCCACCAAGGTCTGGGAGCTGCCCGGGGGCTGGGAGGTTGGTTTCATCAGAAATCTGGGGGCTGTCAAGGATGCCGCTGTAACGTGGCTTCATTTCCAGGGGGAGGTGAGGAAACAACCGAAAAATAACCCAGATGAATGATTTCTGCTCTATTTTACACAAGAACCAAAGCGTCCGCCTGGCTCGCAGGATGGGAGCAGAGCCGGCTGCTCCCGTATGGCCGCAGTGCTGCGGACCTCCCGCGGGTCTCCCAGCCACGACAAGAAAATGCTTTGGGAAGAGCTTAAAGGGGTTACATAGCATTTTACCCAGGTTGCTTCCCTAGAGATGCTGTACTTTCCAGAAACGTAGAGGCCTCAGAGAAGGCCACGCTTTACCCTGAAAGTTACTTAAAATGACTGTTCTGTGCTCAAATTCCTGGTGACTAAATATTGAAGATGCACTCGAACGACTAGGAGTTTCAGCTAAAGGATCTCCACATTTTCTAGGGCTAGAAATGGATTCTGAGTCTCTCGTAATGCTCTCAATGTCTTGTTTCTGTTACTCCAAGACAACAGGATGCCAAGTTCTGCATTGGGATATTTTACACCGAGCAAGATCTCTTACTACTGGAGTTTCTCTTCCTCTCGCTGGGCTAAGGATTCAGCAATTTGGTAGGAGAGGTTTCTTTTGGGCTAAAAAGCGCGCAGATGATGCGGTCCCAGATAAATTTATCACGCTGTCACGTGAGAGCGTGCAGAGTCGCATCCCCATTAAATGGACACACAAACGTGACACACACACAGGTCCTCCAACTCGGCTGAGCTATTCTTGATTTACACTGCCCAGTCCCACTGGATGCAGGAACTGGTGTGGTATATTAAGATCTACTCTTTTTTTTTTTTTCCATTTGTCATTGATCAGGATCTTTCTGCCTGTGAATGTTACAGTAACCCCTTATTCCAGGCAACATTCATGTATTACACTTCAACTCAATTTAAATGTAAATTTCTGGCAAGTTAAGTGCTCTGTCTAAGAATGTTAAGGGCTCTTTTCTTTATGAATCAAGGTCTAATTAGAGGAGACGATGTACAGTTTTCCTATACCAATTACAGAAAAATGGAAAAAATTATTTTCATTAACAATTTCCCAAACACATGTTTTCTAGCTCATCACCATTTCCCCAAAGTAATAAAAAAGTCATTTTCCGAAAGAGTAAAATAAACCAACAATTAGGAGAACAAAAATAAAATAGATTAGCTAATGTGTTAGATGTGTGTTGGCTCAGTTCTAACATGTCTGGACCTTTTTGTTTGGAAATTATACTGTATTTGTACAAGTCCAAATGAAGAATTAACAGAATGCACTGCTCCCATTTAAGTTTTTTTTTTTTTTAAATGTGATTCAAGCCAATTGCATAAATATGGTACCTTTTTGACACCATCTGCAAATTAATGCCTAAACAGCCTCGTAGGTCTCCATAAGAGGGTAACTGCTCATTATTAACGTCATGGAGATATTCTTTCCAGTTCAAATGTTAGAAGTGTGAAGGCCCATGGTTCAGTCTTGGCTGTTAATGCGTAACGTGGGTTGCTACACATGCCATAAAGCAAAGCACGATGCAAATTACTATGACAGAAGTTGTTTAAATTGTGCTTACGGGTACATCCACGTATTTGGAAGCAGCCTTCACCTGTAAAAGGAACAAGAAGAGAGTTTACACCATCAGTACATTTTCAGGTCTTCGCTATTTCTTTAAACACCTGCAGGAGCTTCTCCAGCCAAGACCTAGGACAACATAATGCTGAGGGGGGGGGAAAGGTGATAAAAACTACGTTTCCTGTCTAAAAGAATAGGCAAGGGAGGTATTTTTGTTGTTGTTTTGGAGAGGTAACTTTGCTGCTGCCGAAGCTCTAATAGCAACAGATGATAGCGTGGGAGTTGCGCTTCTCCCTCGTCTACTTCAGCGAGCGGGGGAAGACGGGGTTCGTAAGTAGACATCTTTATTTTCTTTGCAGGCCTCATTCTCCGCCCGATGCCACGTGTCTCCGAAGGCAGCGCGTGTCTCTCCCATCAGCAGCTGCATCCTGGGGACCGTGGGAGCTTCCCCGGCAGCAGGGGCACGGTGGCAAGGCGAGGCTGGCAGGCTCTGGCACCGAGGAGGTCACAAGAAAGCACTCGAAGGACCCCAAGTTTGCCCCCTGCCCACAGACACAGGATGCTTCTCCCATGCCAGAGAAGTGCCCCAACACTTTTCGGCTTCCCAGACTGCGAACAGCTACATTAGAGTTGCCTACGATTTCCACCCCTCATTTTAAAAGATGTTATTTGAGGGAGGGTCTCAGGGGGCGGCCGCTGTGCTCTGCCCTGTCCTTGCAAGCTGGTGGGGGCTGCCAGACCCCCAACTGACTTTGTGTCTGGGGTGCACACTGCCTGGCACGGGAGACATGGTGGCTGCCAATGCCAGGGCCAACTTTTCCGACGGAGCAGCGCCCAGCTGGCCAGAGGGACCTTTTTCCCACCACAGCATAAGGCACCATCTCTAGAAAGAGTACGGCTGGGATTTTCCATAACGCTTCTGCTTTTAATTAGGGTAAGCGTTGCCGGCCATCTTTGTTTGGGTGTAAAAGCTCACCTGCTTTTAAATATTTCTAAAGCTACCATTAAAACAGCCTAAATATAACACGCACAGAGTTGCATCTTGGGATGAATAAATTATGTGTCCCGAATGAGAGAATGAATGTATGTGTGAGACAGAATGTGAGAGTGGGTGGAAGCACTCATATGGTGTGTGTGGGGGGTGCATAATTAAGCACAATGAGGCGATACAAAAGACCAGACTGGTGGTAATTGCCGAGGTGAAGGCTGCAAGTATTGGCAGCGCCCGGGCTGCTGAGCCGGGGGGCAAGAACAGAGGGGAGGGCAGGGGGAGGACGCCGAGCGCCTGCCGCCGCGGTGCGACCCGGGGTCTGGCTGTTGGAGCGGATGGAAAGGGACGGGGCACGTCCCAGCACACGAGTTTATGAAGGAGGAAGCAAAGTCAGCCCCAAGCCCTCGCTCCCAGCGGAGAGCGAACGCTCGTCTCTCCTCCAGGTATCCCTGCTCCCAGCTGGCTGTCTGGACACCTTGCTCTTTCACTGCATTTACCCTCACAACTTTCCTGGGAGGTAGCAAAGTGCTATCCCTTGCTCCCGCAGCTCCGGAGGAGCAGGCAGTCACGGCGCACCCACGCTGGCCTGGAGCAGCCGCAGGCAGGGCTGCCCAGCTCCTTCTTCCGAGCACCGAAGCTAAACAACCGGGAGGAAAGCTCGGAAGACCGTGCAGCTCCGCAGCCCGTAGAATCCAAGCCGGGGCCCGCGCTCAGGGCTGCCTCGCACCTTGCACCCGTCTCTTCAAGTATCACATGGGGCACGAAGGAATGCAGCGGCAGCCCAGGAAACCTGCAACCCGAGTGTGGATTTCGCGCTCTTAGGTCCATCTTAGCGCCACCGTCTCCAACTACCTTCTTCTGCCAAGCCAAGAGGCGACAAGAATAACTCAGTCAGCTTCCTGCGATCTCCTCCCTCCACCCACAAAAAAACTGAGCTGCTTCTCCTGCCCACTCCCCTTTAATCAGAATAATTACTTGTTTTTCTTTAAACTCAGATTTGGCTACATTTAGTGAAATTTCCAAACTGCCGGATGTTGTGTGATTTTTGCTAGGCTGCCGTTTTTCACAAAGTATGTGACTTTGCCACGAAACGTCTCAGTTTACCATACAAATTTTGCGCAGAACAAAAATAAGATCTTTTACTTCTGTCTCCCTGGGGTAATAGCAGTCTTTAGTTTTAATTACTGTAGGTGTAATTCTCCGCCTACAGAGGCCATCCAGATTAAAGGGAATTTTAGCAGCTGTCACTCCTGTGACTCAGTGGATCTCCACACGCAGACGCCCAGCCAGGGCCTGGGCTGCTGCCGCCAAGATGCACTTAAATGTAGCAACAAATAGAAAAAAAAAATAAAAAGGCTGGCCAAATTTAGAAGGGTGTTTTCCTCTCAAAGTGCTCTGCAAGGGGAAGTGGCTAGTGAGAATTTATTAGGACAACAGATGCATTAATTTTATCTTGAATTTCGAGGCAAGAATTGGAAATGAGGATATCCTACTAGGTGATAAAACTGTCTGTCACAAGACCCCCGATTACATGTCACTTGCAGAGCGCCTGGAAAACACGCGATGAGAGAAAGTCGGTGGAAGGGGGTGGGAGACTAATGCTTTCTAGAGCTCAGCGGCTTGGACCATCACACTTTGTTGTATTTGTTCAGACAGGGAAAACGTGGGAGGTGGTGCAAGCATGCTGTAACAAGAGAGAGTTTCTCTATTTATCACTGCAAAGACTAAACACAGCAAATCCCATTACTATTGCTGGGGAGGGAGCCTTTCCAAGCCCAGTGCCAAGGGGTCGGGGCTGTTCCTCAGCCTCCTCTTGCTGCTGGTGCTGCCCAGTGGCTCCCAGTAAAGAAGCGGGCCAAAGCAAGAGATGTCCCTCGCCCAGAAAGCAGCAATCCAGCTCCTCGGCAGTGCACCCAGCCTCCTTGCTGGGCGTGAGGGCTCAGCACCTTCCTGGGGACGTGCACACACCACGCACAGTAGCTATTTGGATGCATACCCCTTCCTGGCTGGCAGCTCAGGAAAGGGGAGCTGTGGAGCTGGGTTCAAAGGCTGCGGGGCTGTTGGAGTGGGACAGTTAATTGTCAGTAAGTGTCCGAGGAGCAGGAGAGTGAGGATGCTTCAGCCCCGTGCACCTACGTGCTGCCTCTTTACGGGTGCCCAGAGCCTGAGCGTGGCCGGGGCTCGCTTGGCAGTCGAAGGGAGAACCACTCGGCAGCCTAAACAGTGGGATGTGGTGGGAGCAGCACAGCATCAACCGAGGAACAGCTTGGATTCACGGAGAAGGAAGGGCTGCACGTTACACTGTCTACCCGGGCTGATGCTGGTACTTCCGATGCCTGAAAAGCTGCCGCCTCCACATCCTCTGCTGCTGGCACGCGAGCATCTCCTAACCTCAGCAGCACTGGGATGAGGGAAGGGATCCACCCCAGCCATCCCCTGCATCCCCGGGGCTGTAACCAGGGGTTATCCTGGGAGCAGAGCTGCCCCGCAGGGCAGTGAGTGCAACACACTCCCACCACCTCCTTCTCGGAGGAACAAAGTGCCCTCAGCACTCCTGAAAAGCTGTAACGCCTAGTCTGAACCCCGTGGCAGTTTAAATAAGCTGCCAGACCGTGTGTGCACACAGCTGCCTGTGAGCAGTTTCTTGCCTCAGCTGGTGAGCTTTCCTACGTCCTTTCCTACATCCTTACCATCCCCGTCTCAAAACGGATCCTACAAAACTGCCTCAAACTCAGCAAAAAGGGCCCAAGAGAAGCAAACAACAGGCAATTACATGTAGCTAAGCAAACTCCCGAAAGAGATTTTGGAAAGCTTTCCCAATTTGCAGAGCAGTGCTTCCTGCCTCCTGCCCCGTCTCCGTGAACAAGCGAGTACAGGACAGGCTGTGCCCGAGGGCAGCGGGGCCGGAGGGTGAAAAATGTTATTGCAACTTTCCAAGCAAGCCCAGACACAGGTATTTGTGTCCAGAGTGGTCTGTGAGCTGAGCTAAAAGAAGCCACGCTTGCCAACAGACCCACTGTGAACTTTCTGGCACACATTTCCAGAAGAGCTTTGAACATCGGCCGCTGCGTGTTTGCCCTAAGAAGCTGTCGCAACACTCCTCTGGAATACAGCTCAGATGGCAAAACCCTCGTGGATATGGGGGTCAGTTCTGCACAGGTACCATTCTTGTCCTGTACTTTTCTAGGAAATACCTAATGGGATAAGCTGTGGATGGGTTAGGGAGAATGTGTCACGAGAGGCACCTCGTGCTGCGTAATCTCATGGCGTTTCCCCCACCCCGTTCTCTTTTAGAAACACGAAGGTACTCCTTAGATCTCCCTTCTTTTGTTTCTCACTTAAGATGGTCACTGTTATGGCCAGAAGGATGAAAAGAACACACCTGCCATGCAAGGTGGCAAGGAAAGCGCCTTCTTTAGTCAGGGAAATTGCATGTACAGTGCAATGATTCTTTTTTTCATCTTCGTACGCCTCCTCAACAGAATAAACTCCACCAGCCTGAAGGATGACTAGAGGCAGCTTTACCCCACGCTACACTAAGATGGCCTATGCCCCTTGGCTGTTTACGTGTATCTGCACACAGGTTGTGCATTCACCTGGGGCTTACAGTGTTCAGACACCACAGAACGGCAGAATTATTATGGGGCTGATCTCATCCTGGGGCAGCAGCAGATTACAACTCAGGGATTAAAAAAAAGAAGAAAGGAAAATATTGTCTGTACTTACAGTAAATGACAGGAAAGAAGAAAACAAAGTTCCTTCATCGTATCTAGACAGTTTGGCCAGGACTCCTTCCAAAATGGTGACAAACTAGGAAGACAAAAAACACTGCAATTACTTTTAATAATTGAACGAGGGTGTAAAAATCAGCATCAAAGAAGTCACCGCAGCTCTCGGCGTTGCCACAGGAACGGACAACCTGTCCCCGAGCACAGCGGGCCACGGAGCAAGGAGCATTGCCTCGCGGGTGCCACGTCCCGCTGGGTGGGAGTCGCCCCTCGGTGTCACGAGTGATGCTGGGGACAGGAGGTGGGTGCAGCGCGGGGGAGGCCAGCACAGCCCTTCCGTATGGGGATGCTGGTGGTTCTTGCTCCCAGTACGCGGTGTCAAGCACGCAGCTAGCTAGGTATTCTTGCAGAAGAATTGAACCGGCATATGTTGGTGGATTATGTTTAAAGGTCTCCACTGTATAATAGGGATGACTTGTTCTCAGAAAGTTTGAAACTGGAGGAAAACACACCCCACCATCCTTCTCCCTACGTACCAATTCCCCTCTGTGTTAGCGCAGCACACCAGACCTACACAACAACCCAAGGGAAATGCTGGCAGCTGAGCTAGAGGAGCCGACTCCGATGAAAAACAATTTCCAAACAATTAAACCTGACATTTTGGAATGTATTTCCCACTACTGTCACCTCTAAATTAATTCCTTAGAAGAGCATATGGCAATCTAGTGTAAGACAAGCTATCGTGGCCGCACAACCTCATGCGTAGGAGTGGTGACCACCTCTGCGTGCCACCCCAGCGCCTACGCAGCAGCGTTCAGCAGTGCCACCCCCCGACTGCACTACCCTCAGTGCCACGGGGTGATGCTGACCACGGGGTGTCACCCCATCAACCTCACACCCATTCCTCAAAACCACTTCTGGCCCCGCAGGGCAATCCTGCCAGCAGCGTACTACATCCCTCGCAGTTCCTAATCATCAAAGAGTCACCATGAAAGGACTGGGAGAGGTATGATCTTGCCTGTGAGAAACAAGAAGCCAATCCAACATCTTAATGTGTCACATTTTAATAGAAACGCACGTATTAAAAACGCAACGTTAACAGTGAATCACTTCACCTGAAGCCGAGGGTTACCTTTGCCACTAGGAGTGTTATCATTTCTTTGACGGTTTCCTCAATTAATTCATCTATTTTTGAATGGTACTGGTGCTGAAGAAAAATAAAAGGAGAGGGGGAGGAAAATATTAGCATCGATCACTGGAAAGAGCTTTATGGTTGTCAGCCTCTTCCCTTGGGAAACCACAAAACACAGTAATAAACCCCCAAATTATGCAGCTTATTACGCTGTGCTCCGCGACAGTGGCCAGCGATTCCTTCCGCTCGCAGGAGAGACCCTGAAATCAGGAGAATCAGTTTATGAAGCATGGGCAAACCCTGCCCTCTTCTGTGTGCCCGCAGCTCCGGGAGCCACAGGCACACGTCGGAGGGGAGGCTTTGCCATCCCTGCGAGCACCGGCACCCCGAGCTCCTACAGACCCTGAAGTCCTTTTGCTTCAGTTCTGCAGGCATTATCCTGCTCCTTTTGCACATGGATCACTCCTGACAATGGGAACACCCGTCACCAGAGGGAAACCGGCAGCCCTTGCCTAGGGCACCGCAGACCACACAGCCCTGGGAGGGGGAGTGGGGAGGATTTGCTGCACCACGGGAGTTGGCAGCGGGTTGAACCTCGGGGCTGGAGGCTGTACCACCCACCACAGCAAACCCCCCGAACCAAACCCTACCCACCGGGCTCAGCCGGCACAGGGCTCTGCTCGGTGACTGTCAGACAGATTTAAAAATCACCCAAGGAACCAAGAGGAGCCTTTTTGCCCGGTGCCAAAGTGCAGCCCCCAGCCCTGGCTGTTAGCAGAGCCGGCGTCACGAGCTCAGCACCGGCTGACCGAGGCCAGCGCCTGCGGCATCGGCGCTTCTGAGTCTTCACCCAATTTCTGCATGTGCCAAACCTCGCTGAGCTTGGGAGCTCTGATGCAATCAGCTGCAATATGGCTAGAATAGGTACTAAAATACAGTCTTCTACTAATTTAGAAAAGACCTGTTTCCAATACAAGATTTAATTAGTGAAAACATACAGTATATTCTTATTTTCAATGGACTGAGAAAATACTGATTATGACTGCTTTCCAACACAAAACATTTGATTTTTCAGTCAAACATTTCAAGCACTGGTGCTAGTCACTATATTCATTACCACTTGGCATTAATATTGTTTTAAAATGTTAAAATCAAATCACATTGAAAGAGACAAATCTGCTTTAAATACTAATCAGACTTTGGGAAGGAAGACTGCGAGGGCTTTACAAATGCTAGATGTTGGTCTCAGCGCCTGACGGGTAGTGTGTGAACTGCTCTACGGTTTGGAGATTTGTTTTCTATGACAGTAACATATTAATACAGGAATTTGGAAAAAAAAGAAAAGAAAAATAGGACGCACTTACCCACTCTTTAGCAAACTTTTCAGATGATTGGGGACAGAAATAAAGAGGAAAATGCAAAAGACAGGAAAGAGAACATATGAAGATAATAAATAAACCAAAATATTTTTTAAAATAAAGGGACATATGAGAGAAGCAGCATCATGCACAGAAACGATAAGCAACGGAAAATGAAACATGATCAAAACCTCCTTTCACTGATATAGCAGAGACTGCTACCTGCAGTATGTGCAGGCAGTAAAACGGGGAAGGGACAGGATGGTACCTGACTGCTGACAGTCTCCTGTGGTTTTATCTCACTCTGACAAGGAAGGCAACCGGCTCTGGAAGGCAGGGTGCAGCGTTGGGGCAGGATGCACCTGAGGGATAAACCCCGCTGCAGGCAGGGCTGGGCTGGGGGGGGCAGGGGTGCACGGTGCAGCACATCCCAGCCCAAATCCCAGCTGAGGACACCCAGAACCTCACCCACACGGGAGGAGAGGCTGGACTTGCCACGCCACGGGCTGCCGGGCCCACCCAGAGAACAACACACACGAACAAGCGAGTGATATTTGCACCTGCAGTTCCCATTTCCATGTCCTGCTTTGCAGGTCAAGACATATATGAGTCCCTTACAGCAACCATAGTTAGGATTAATCTGTTTAACACAGACGTAGGCCTTATCAGCTCCCAGGATTGACCTGGCTGCTCCTGACGCAGCTGGAGATGGAGCCATGGGATGACAGGGACCTTTAACAGCTGGATATGGGCAGGAGCTGCTGACATCCTTGGCATATACAGCCAGCACCACCCAAGGGAGCAAAGGGGTTGTGCAGAGACTGGGGGCGTCTTCACCATTATGTTTTCTTCCCTATGATGTTTTCCTTCTGCTGCTGCATTTTCTGTGTGCGTGGAAGACCTCGCAGCCGAGGATTTAGCTAACTGCCTTCACGGAGTAAATCAGGAGTTTTAACTCTCAGATGGCTAGCTACGTGCATTTTCAATTAAATGCTTGTTTTAAAAGCAAATAAGAGCCCTGATGGAATAAAACCACGGCTTTGAGAGCAGAGGAGGACCCTGTGCACACACAGGCAGCGTTGGAAGGACTCTGACCGCTCGTTCCCACTGCGACTGCAATCCCTGGAGCAGACTCAGACCTGGTGCCAGGGCCAGGGACCGTGCAGAATAGGGCCCATGGGGCTGTGGGTCCTGGCCTGTGCGGCCGCAGCGATGTGCACCCTGTGCCGCCGGTGCTGCAGCCCCAGCTCCAGCACGGGAAGATGAGCCTTGGCGGGGATGGGGTGGGAGAAGGCGGTGGTCTGGAAAACGACTGCCTGGTGCTGCTTTCACAGCCGCCGGGCTCGTAAACCAGCGTTTCTAGCAGCGCCTTCCACATTTCTTATGAAAATGGTCAAGGTTAAAGATCGCATAACTGCTTTGCTTTACCCAGTGTAGCACCCGCTTTCCATCGAGTTCATCGCAGCGTTCTATTAGCTCAATTATTACAATCCATAATCAGTGCACTACAATGATTCAACTTGACTTTATGTGATGAGTATCTTGCCTTGTCATGTAACAGATTGTGTGTACGTTGTATTTCTCTAAGGACCATCTGACCTTAGATATTAAATAGAAACATACTAGACCAACTGAGAAACATTTAATACATACATTTATCCCCTTAGATGTATTAAAAATTCAGAGGAAAAATAAATATTTAAGATGGTAAAGTATGTTTACCAAATGTTTTAACAGCTGCCTTTAGAGACAAGGAAATGGAAATGAAACGATGGGTGTTTGTTTCACAGGGTAATGCTCACAAAATGCACTCAAGTGTCTGCTAAAGTGAGTGTACCCGAAGGTAGTCTTAAAAGGAAGGTCTCTGGGGCAGAGGGGAAACCGCAGGAGCAAGGTCAAAGAACACATCGAGAGTCTCTGCCCACGTACAGCTTGGACCATCACAAAACGGGACGGAGTGAGGCGAAATTTGGAGTGGCACGAGCAAGTGGAGGGGGAGGTAGGAACACTCATTGAAGGAAGGAAAGAAAAGGGAGGATGTAGAAAATACTGCAGCCCTAAACAGTAACTTACGCACTGCTAATTTACATCTGCTTTACAGGTCTGTTAGCTCAGCTATCTGTCCAAATCCTCATGCCCCACAGCTGCTGCTGGCCAGAGGAGCTGGCGGACTCCGAGCTGCCGTAGCAAAGCCCTCCTTGAGGTGGCACAGGCAGATTTGCAGGAGTGACCCCTGCTGCAGCTGGGAACAGCGGGGACACAACCGCGCTGCCGCCCGCTCCCCTCTGCCTTGCGGTTCGACTCGGGCCGAACGTGCAAGGCGGCTGATGCTCACAATTCAGAGGACACCGTGGCAAGCGCAGATTAGCACGGGAAGATGCAGCGAGTGCCTGCTCACACTACATCCAGATGCGGCTGATGTTACCGGTCTCATGCCACCGGAATACTCGACGTGACCATTTTATGACTGCAACGAGCTTGCTCTGTCATGAGATCGGAGGCTGCTTGGTCTCCAAAATGTCCCTGTCCCCAGGGACTGCGCTAACATAATGCACAAGGGTTTGATCCTGGTTTGCAGTGGGGAGTATCGCAACCGTGGCCTTTCCTGGCTGCCAGGGCACTGCCAGGGCAGATGCTGCAGCAGCTGCGGGCTGAAGGACTTGGGGAGATAAATGGGTATGGAACAGAAAACGGTAGAGAAGTTCAGGTCCAGGCTCAGACAACAAAAGCCCACACAAGACCTGCCCCAGCTCACTTGGAGGACAGAGGAAGAACCTGATGGTGAGCAGTTTGAAACCTCTCTTGCAAGGTGACTGTCACAAATAAAATGTCATCACTGAAGCATGTATAAGAAAAATAAAAAGAACAGCCAGATCTGATCCAAACACCACTGATGTGAAAGCACGGATCCCTGCTGCATCCAGTGGGCTTTGGAGCAGGTCCTCTCAGGGGAACAGGGTGAGGTGAACATCTAAAAAAAAACCCCAACTTGCAAGGATTCACTGCAAAATCTGACCACGGGAAGTTGTAGCAAAAAGGCTTATCTAGGAAATGCTGACAAGCAGCAGGATAGGAGAGCCAAACAGTATTTGTGAATTTATTCTAGACTGCTATATGAATATTTAATTTGGCTTGAAGCCACTGTAGCAAAATGATCATTATGATGCGTTTAATCTAGTCCAATTTACCATGTCTTTCTAATTCATAGATCAATTCACAGACACTTCAACCCCCAACTATGGCTTCAGAAGAAAAAAAGAAGTATTGCAATTAATTAAGACAGGTTTGTTGTTTGGAAACATGAGTCATTAAAAACGTAGAAATCCAGGGTCATCAAGTGTGCTGATTGTAGCCAACACTCAAGGAAGTCACAGCAGCTGGAATTTCAATCTACTTTTGGTAGTTATCTGTTCTGGTGTTTTGTTTTTTTGAATTTTTTTTTCTTCCTTACAAGCACCACAGCAATGACTTGGCACTTCTGTTTTCCTTACGTCTGTCTAGAGAAAATGGTCATATACAGACAGTGTGCTGCTGACACCTGGCTCCAAGGTGCAGTTAATGACTCAACAGATAGCGTCACTGCGCGCCAAGCACGCTACAGAGATACCTTATGCCTACCACAGTCCTTGCAAAAAGTCACTCTTAAGTGACAAGGATTCCTAATGTGTCTATTCATTAGATTTGAGAGCAAACCCTGCCTATTCATCTGCACGCTCTACATGGAAGGCCAAATCCACAACTGATGTAATGCCTCTGAAAGCAGCACAACAGGAGACAGGAAATTTCCCGACATTTCTCTTAAAAGCTGTGAAGGGAAGAACCTGCATTTTTACCTCTTGGCCCATTTCCATACTGCAAAGCTTTGTTGACTGAGCTTTGGCATCCACCATGACATTAAACATGGTGCATATTGATTGAGGGACTCGGAAATCTGTTGATCGGCTCGTTTTCTGCAGCTTTACTTCAAATGCAATCCTGGTTCTGTTAAGGGGAAGAGAAAAAAGATGGTTTAGTTGCTTTTTACCACACTGAGGCTAATAATAACGTGAAACAATACTACAAGTTCAATAAACCAGAAAGGCAAATGCTGCTGGGAGTGTTATTGTTACAAATGTGCTTTTACTAAAAACGATTTTCCAGTTGAAACAGACACCCACTTTCCAGAATACACATTATTTATAAAGTGTGCAATGGTTTCAGGAAAACTCTTTCTCGTGCTTGATAAACAGTGTGATGATGTTACAAACAGCAGCGTCAACGTACACCTATAATTTGGCTGCATGAGCTGATTTATAACCAGACAAACAGCAAACCTGATGCATTAAGGGAAGCTCCTATCGCTCCGTGGTATCAACTACAGATAACAGAAACTCGTCCATCACTTCACTGAAAGGACACCACCAGGTCTTTGCATTTTTTTAGGTCTACATGATTGTGTTTGCTTGCTGAAAGTTCCAAATTGTCTCATAAGTCCATAGAAGTGGTTTCCCTGAAGCACACGTACCAGAATAGGTCTGCAAAATGTGCATGGGCACAGCCGTGCACGCGCTGCACGAGCCCGCGCCCCTCTGCTCTCTTGAGGCTTCACTGAGCTCAAACCTGACATCCCTGGCAGGTGCAAACTGCGTTACACCCAGAGCTGTGTTGGGCCAAAGACGGCAGGCTTTGATCCCGCGTGGTAATTTAAAATACCAAGGCATTGGTGACTCTTAACGTAGAGAACACTCGCGGAACGGTGGGCACTGCCTTGCCTTTCTTTGGAGCCCCTCTGCAGATTCCTGAGGTACTTCACTAATCTAATCTAACACAGAACAATTATCACATCAGACAGAATCTGCCAACAAATTAACATAGGAGCTTCAATTTAGAAATAACAAATAATATCAGCTGCAGCTCAGGAATAACTCTGATCTTGAAAGATCCCCCAAGGGTTATGCAAATGAAAACTCATTTACAAATGTGAAACTCCTGTTCTTGGGATGAGATCTGAGCTGGTACCTAGGTCCTCCTGCCTGGATTTATAAGCGAAACAGGCCTTCCGTGCAAGGGCTGCTTTCCTGACAGCACCGAAATACAACCGAGCGCGGAAGGCGGGGTGGCTCCCCCATGGTATTCAACAGTTCAGAGACAGACGCGAAGAAAAATGTTGTGTCAAACTGAAATTGCTAAAGAAACCTTAGCCAGGCCCTGTTTGCAGGTGATATAAATAGGGAAGGCAGCATATTGGTTTACATCAGCAGTGGCATTTGAACTGATTTAATTACCAGTGCCAGATTTAGCCTGGACTCGGGGACTAGAATCTTGATAATTACTGAAAGGACCCAAAGTGACTGGGATTTTCCATCTCCTCGCAGAGATGAGCATGTTCCTACTTACTTATGCTCGGAACCATTAAATATAGTCATACCATCTAGCTGGGCCAGGTTTTTACAGAGGGACAACATATCTGTAGAAAGGTTGAAGCAGTTGGGACCCCCCCACCCCCGGCTTTCAGGCACACAAGCTCTTCTTCTGATGTACCTGGAAATTGCTTATTTTTCCCAGTTATGTCAGGCAACCTAACCTGGTCTGATTTCTACAGACCATCGCAGCTACGACTGCACTGCAGGTGTAGCAAAGGTGCCTTGGTTCCAATTAAAAAAGAAGAGAGAAAATATGTGTTTTGCTGGTGGTGCTGGGGGCAGAGCAGAGCTCCCGTGCTGGGTTTGCTCCTCAGAGTAGTCTGACAACTGGACGACAACCGAAGCTCAGCGTTCGTGCCAAAGGACCACAGACAAGCTGCTGCAACACGGGGGGCTTGCTCAGTGCCAAAGACATCACGACCGTCTCACTGCACTTCAAACACACCAGGGTTTTTCCAGAGCAGCGCGAGAGCAAGCCTGGGGCTGCCTGCCTGCCAGCGGGCCAGTCCCCAGCCCACATCTCGGGGACTGAACATGCCTTCTCCTACGGTGACGTGGCACATCCAGACTGCGAGGAACGCGCGAACAATAAATGCCACGCTCACGCTTGCAGAGTGGCCAGGCAACTGTGACACAGAACAGCCACATCACACACTGCAGCTAATATTAGCATGTACCAGCTGTATTTGGCACCCATTTTTCCTTTGTTTTGTCTTTTTGACTATTCATTTCTGCACAATGGAACACAAAGTTAATTTCTTTCTCCTGCCTAATCACTCTGGATGCCAAATGGACATAAGTGACTGTGGAAAGGTTGGAAATTTAGCCTTAACATCTTGCTTTCAAAATGACATCTGCTTGTACGTTCAAAAGTTTTTCGAGGAAACCTCACTGTTTTGGAAGATCTGCAGGGGAGTATCCTGTAAAGCAGCTGATGATACAACAGCTTTCCCCAGTCGATGGCAGATGTGAAGCCTGTGTGCCAAGCTACACAGCATCCCCTTTCTGGGATCACTTTTTTGCTTGTTTTTGTGGTGTTGGTTTTTTTTTTTTTTTTTGGTGGGTGTTGGGATCTTACTTAGACCTATGCCTTTAGCACTCAACCCTGCCGACACCAAACTGCATTTACAAAGACTTGACCTCATGTGCGGCACCAAAAACAAGTAACATCCCATAAAGCTTTAAAGAACAGGTGATTTATTGCCTTATTTTGAATATGCACTCTCCAGAGTCTCAACAGAGAAGTGCTTGCTTGGGAATGTCCACAATTCATAGCGATGGGGTGGCTTTCCACCATGCCTGTGCTGGGCAGAGGTGAGCTGGGGTCACTAATAAAGGGAGGTTGAAGTGAAGCTTCATTGATAATAAGACAGAAAGAAAGGTGCATCCAGTGAGTTTCTACGAGAAACGTGACTAGCTTGCGCGCGGGCACGTACCTCTTCACGCAGGACTCGATCATGTCACTCGCCATAAGCTTCAAGCGTTGCTCCAAGTGTTTTCCAAACTCCTCCTCAGGCCAGTGCAAATCCCGAATGAAGGTCTGTAGGGCATCAAGTTTCCAGAACAGATCTTCCGAGGTGCCTGATCCATTGCTGGCAGGGCAAAATGAGAACAAAAGTCATAAGTGGCATCAAGCCCTTTGCAACCTGATGTGGAGACCATTCCTGCAACAAGTGTAGAGCAGACAGGAGTTTCATACACAGGACAACGCTGGCAATCTCCACCATCAGGATTTTGAGTTTTACCATACAGTTGCCTAATCTACCTTGCTGTCATAACCCACAAAACTTTCCAGACCAGATGAGTAAGACAACATTATGAGTTACACATATTAACAGGAAGAATGTGCGTATGGTAAAAATCAGCCTTAGTTAATAACCACATTAAGGTATGTGATTATTAAGAATTAAGGCTAGAAACTGTGGTAGAAAATCCTCCATCAGTAATAACTGCCATGCTGGACTGTATGCAGTTATTAAGATTTAGGGTTTCATGCAATTCTCCCCCCTCTGAGTTATACCTTGAGTTTGCCTTGTCCCCCTCACTGAGGCCCCTGTTTCCAGGTGAGGGACAGTGCTAACAAGTGGTGAGCGAGGACACGCTTTATCTCTTGAACAGCTGAAAAAAAATCGGGGTAAATCAATTGAGCTAAGGGCACTAGACATCTCATATCCAGGGGTTTGGGCAGGACTGACCGCTGCACCTTTTCGCAGATCTGCCTATTGCAAAGGCATCTGTAGGACAACGAATTTCCATTCTTTAAAAAAAAAATATTTTATTTTGCAACATCTTTGGCCTGTCACGAAACTCTCAATTTCTCTCCCAAGCGTATATTCTCGTACCCATACCCCTGCCCAGATGGAAGTCTTTGGTCCTGCAGCGTGTAGCTCCACCGGCTCTTTTCACAGTATAATTATATCTCAAACCTCCACTTACAGAATAAAAATACAGAACTGGATTGCGCTCTGTTTGTGCAGAGGAATTTATGCATCCATAACCCTTTTCTCTCCCTCTCTCCTTCTCCCTCACTTTTTTTTTTTTTTTGCAGAACAATTACCAAGGGAGCTTCAAGAGTTTCAACCCCCTCCTCGCATACCACTAATGCTAACACAGTAATTTATAAGATATTGAACACACCATGCATTACCACTTGTGCTGACATCATCTATAGAAACAGATGAGGGAGGGTGTTTCTATTGTGACAGATGCCAGCTGCATTGAGTTAATGCTAGAGGAGGTCGGAGCCAATGCACACACGGCTACTGCAAGGTGAGAACCAGAGTCCCAACATGCCAGAGGGGTCCTGTGCTAACAGAGCTCACGAGGGAAAGAATGAGTCGTCTTGGTTGTAGGAGAAACGGAGCTGACACTAAGCAACAGGTAACACGTCCTTGATGGAGGGGAAGGGTGAGTAGAAGGAAACCAGGGGGATGAAAAGATAAAGAATCAGGCATCTCCTTTAACCAGGGGACCCGTTTGTGCAACAGTCCCAAGTGCTCATCTACCGCCAGTTTTTAGTTTTGCTTGGTTCAAACCTGTGCTTGGGTATAAATAAGCTTTAACAGCCTAAGCCCAGTTTTGGAACTGCACGGATTTACATATTAAAGAATTAAATACGTACAACCCCAATAATTGGTATTTACTACAGCAACATTCTGACATCCATTTGGTTTCAAAATTTAAAAGTCTTATTCTTGGTCATTTTCTCACTTTTGATTAGGGCTCCACGCAAGTAGACAACACAGAATAATCATTTCCAAGATGCACGGTTAACATTTTGCCTGTGAGCACCACAATTACTCTGATCACGCAGGCAGCTTGCGACACACCACTGACGCTCCAGCGTTTTCAGGGGGATTATCCAATTTTCTGTCAAGACATGATTCTTATCTTTTCAAGGGCAATACCACAAAGCATGCACAGAGGAAGATTAAAACTTTCAAGTACTCTTTACAGACAACTGCCTAAGCTAGCCTTTAATACAGCTATCTTAGCATGAATATGAGTTGTATAGCTTTGAAACATAAATGACCGTGCTAATGTTTAAAAGGTTTTTTAGATCTATTAAACACACCAAACATCGGTGTTAGTTTTACTTGTGGCTCCTTACAGCTGCTCTGCAATACAGTCTGTCCAGGCCAAGGGCAGAGAGGCATTTTGGTGGACTCCAGGTGTAGATGTAATCGAGGGTGTTTCAGTAACAGTGACGGGGGTAGGTTTGGGGGGAGGCTTCTTCAGTTTTATCTTTTAGGTGAGAAGGTAGGGAAAAAGCAACACATCCGTGCAGTGCTGGCTGGGACCACCCCATGCCAACCCTAAACAACCCTCTAGGAATTTAAAAGGAGAACTGGCAAGGTCTCGGTTCCTGTGCTAGGATACACTGGGAGATGAGCCACCTCCAACACTCAGATTTGGGTTGAGCCCACTGTGCACCGCCCTCCACACTGCTTGGTGGCTGGGATTTTTAGGGGAAATCTGCTGTAAGAAGAGAACTTGCCTAATCGGTGCTGAGGATTTGGGGTACTACCCCGCCAAGCTCCACCCGTGCACCCTGGGATGCTCGGACAGCGAGCTGGGAGCACAGAGCACAAGGCTCCTATAGATTTTTTGACACCGTGCTCGATTTTCCAGGCTATAATCTAAAGCTCATGTTGAAAATCATAGAATCATGAAATGGTTTGGGTTGGAAGGGACCTTAAAGACCATCTAGTTCCAACCTCTGCCGGGGCAGGGACACCTTCCACTAGACCAGGTTGCTCCAAATGTCTTTCTTTAGTGGGTGACGGCATTGCTCGGCTGCAAGGAGGGCGATGGAGCTTTAAAGGCTCTCCCCAGCACGAATAAAAACGGTTGCAGGGTGTTCCTCGCTGTTCAACTGTTTCATCAAAATCAAGACAAAAATTATTATCTGGGAAATGCAGACCTCGCATTGAATAAAAATCACTTTTAGATCTACATCTGGTGCACAGAAATGGGTTGAGTGGCACTGCAATCGGTTCATCTCGTCGGGACAGAACGCTTTGCTGAGACACATAATGCCGCGTTCCAGGTTCCGTGGCTCGTATGTTGTTCAGACCATGTCCCATTGTTGACAGCTATTTTGTAAAGCAAGATACTTGCTCAAACTCTCAGTGGGAGTGAGACAAATTTTCAAAATTTATACAAAAAACACCCTCAAAATACACATGCCAAAAATGCACTAGTGTCTCATTCAGAAAACGTCTAATTAACTGTATCACTCTTTAAAGTTTCATATAATGCACAGAAACAAACAATACATATCCATGCCAAGATTACTTTAAATTTAAATGAGATCTAATTTGAACTGAATACACACTCAGAATCATAAATAGCAGCCATCCATGACGGTGCAGAAAAGCTAGGCATTTGTGGGATGCCTAGTGGGATGTTAACTGGTAGATTTGGTACTTTAGGGAGATTCACATTTGGTAGATTCACATTGGGCAGATTACTTGTTAAACTCCTGTGGAAGAAACAGACAGAAAGAAAAAAATACCATAACAGTGACAATGCAGATGTAGCAGAAGCACGCGACACTCATAAACAAATCTGCAAAGTTCACAGCACGACGACAGTTAAGAAACTAAAGCAAAACATTTCGGGCGGAAGCATGAGTATGGAAGCTTTATAGTGTACTGGGTTTGGAACCTGCAATAAAAAGCAAGTTACTGAAACCCCCCAAAAAACCCCAAAAACAGAATGAAAAGGAGAGTCACAAAGTAGCAAACACCCACAGAAAATAACTCCACCTTCAAGTCCTGATACCATTTCAAGATGCGGAGAGCCGCCTTTCCTCGGGAAAATCTCTCCCGTACGGAAGCGAGCCTCAGCTCTGACACACTCAGTTAGGCTGGGTGAAAGAACTAAACTAAGAGACCTACTAGAGAATTGCGATTCAAAATAATAAACAGAGAGTTTATTATTTTCCAGCCCTGCAGAAGTAAGAGTTTTTCTTGCCACAAATTCAGGAGTCGGGATTTCACTCCAAAACCTGTTTATTTTGTGCTCTGCAAATAACGAAGACGTGCTAATCTGGAGCAACTAAACGGTGAACCACAAGGTTCTTCCTCAGTGAAGACTCGCGTCCTGAGCCTGCCCCCGCATTCCTGGGTGCGGAGAAAATGTGTCCCGCAGGTTGCCCAGCTCCACATGTGCACTTGAATGAACTGCACTTAATAAATCCAGGACTGGTACATGGATGTTTCTTGGCTGGAAACGGGCCACGGGGTGATTAAGACATTCAAAGGTTAATTTATCAAGCAAGTATGCTCGGGCATCATGCCTTCCGAAAATACTTTCAGACATGCAACTGTGATACAAATAGAAATCTTGGAGAAGTGGGCCAGCGTATTAATTTAATGCAACATACCCTCCAGAAACAACAGGCGGTGTAAGAGCCCCGTGTGCCCTTTATCTGCAGAACACCCTGCTGTATTTTAGTGTGCTGGGTCTCCAGGCGTTGTAATCGGTCTGTTTTAATGAGCACCTTATCAGAGTTAATTTTTATGCAAAATAAAAAATGTCATGGGATTTGGGAATCAGAAGCCAGTTTCAGAAGTGTATCTTGTTTCTGCCTTAACCCAGTAATAGTGTATGGCACACTGGGACACAGCGCACAGGTGGTTTTACAGTCCCATTTGAGGAACAAAACCAGACGCTTTGACACCGTTTTCACCGGATCATTATTTGGGCCCAATGAAGATGGAATCAGGACTTCAGGATTTCAGCTTCAGCCTGCACTGCTGAAGCTACCAAAACCTTTTCTATGATGTGCTTGGATGCAGCTTCAGGGTTCGAACCTCCCTGCTCTCAGTGACCAGACCAGGACATGCCTCCTTAGGAGGTGTCTCCCATTCTTCTGGGTTAGATTAGCTGCACTACAGGCAACATTATCTGCACCCTTGGAAGACAATGAGATGATACTGTGTCTTTCGAGGCATATTAAAATCTTAGCAGCTTCTTTGAGTCATTATTTTGAACTCTGTTTGTTGCTGCAGGTTTTATACATCAAAACCCAAAGTAATGGATTTGAGCTGGTTATACTGAATAAATGTTTCCTAACTCAACAGAAGATTTGAACCGTATCTCTGCAAGAGCTCGGCTTGTCACGGTGGCAAGTTTTGGGGAATAAACTTTATCCTCCTCGCTGGGGAGGAAAACCACAATACAAAGTCTTTTTCTAGTGGGAAAAAAGAAAAAGTATGTTCTTGTTTTCTTTTGTTTCTATGATTCTTAGTAGGTTTGGCTTCATGCTACCTGCTTGTTCTCTTCGTTAGGTGGTGAGCAGATATGGGAATTTACTAATGTAACAAAGCTGCCCATTGTTTCCATTCATACTGTATCTGCTCTTAGGATGACATGATTATTGAATGAGACACAACTCCATAGTGATTGAGAGCGTGCTAGATCTTCAGAGATGGTAGTGCATGTGGTTAGATACTGACATGGAATAAATAAAGAAATAGCAAGAGGTGGACAACATATAAATGTATAAGGAAAAGCAACTTAAATAACTTAGCCAGATGGTAAATACATAAATCAGAGGACCTTTGGTTTTAATATTAAAATTCAAGAAGTGACAGTGTTATATTAATAAAAACACTGTATTAATAAAATATGACTTTTAGAGTAAACAGTATACTATATTCACACGGAAACATATTTCTTTTATACAACACATTATTTTGCTGATGCAAGGATATGTTGCAAGAATAAGTTAGTACTCTTAAAACAAAACAGCAAAATAATGGGGTATATTAACATACAGTAACTAATTTACAAAAATATTCTCCTGAACTGACGTGCACAGTTTTGCAGGTTCAACCAATCTAATTATCTGGCTAACAGTTGCAGTGAGACCTGTAAAAAATGATTAATATTACCAACAAATGTTGCAGCCTGCAGTTGCTCAGACCATAAAGCTACAGGTCCAAGATGAGAAACTGTTTCCAGAAGCCAGCCATGCCTATTTAATATAGATGGCTAAATATAACCTCAGCCATCAGGCAGGGAATGTGGGCATTTGCATCAACACGATGAGGGCTGTCTGATTTGAGACGACTCAGCTTCAGGACTGGATCCTGATACGTTTGATCAAAGATGCACGTTCTGGAGCTGTACTGCTCATGTTCTCAGCTTCTGATTCAGCCCGGTTTGTGTCTGGTAGCTGTGCAGGCTTTCACCTGTGCTGTCTGCTGGGAAATGCTCCGTGCAGACTGGCAACATACCCCTGGGCAACACAGAATGGTTTGGGTTGGACGGGACCTTAAAGATCATCTAGTCCCAACCCCCTGAAATGTCCCAGTGCTCGCCCTGCACTGTAGCACCCATCGCAGACAAGTCCAATCGCACTGGGGCTGCTCCAGCACTAAAGGAGGGCAGAAAAATCATATTTTTACTGAGTTCGGCATAGACCTAAGCGAGAACCTTGTCCATACTTAACCGCTCGGTTCCTATGGGATGCCTGAAATGATTTAGTGATGGAAGACGCAAACTCCTGTCTCTTCCATCACTATAAATGCTTACAGCCTCACTGCCTAGGCTGAGCAAATGCTCAAGAGCAAATTTTTTTCACAAAAGCCTTGATGTGAAGCAAAGAGCTTGATAGTGAAGTAGGTAGTCAAATCTGTGCTCTTCCTCTGACTGACACCCAGAATAGTAACAAAAACACTCATTTGCCCTACAACGGTGCTTCTTTTAAAGGGAAACATTTTTCACTATCATTCTGTAGTACTACAACCTTATAAATTGATTAGTGTAATCACACATCTTACATTTATATCAATGATACATTTATAGTTTGCAAAGGGTTAGTGAGCAATTAATTGATGCTAAAGCCGGGACTACAGTGCGGCAGAGACAGAGTAACGCCCTGGTCAAGCGATTGAAACTGGTCGTCACTGCACCTGCTTTAGCATCTGCTCAGAAAGGTTTTCCAACACAGACGCACACACAGAGACACACACACACACGTACGTGTCTGCTGGCTGCAAGATAAATCCTCTGAGAAGCCAGCATGAAAAAAAAAGCCCCCATTGCAAACCCTACTTTTCCAAGACCTCTCAAACTCACCAGAGAACAGACCTACTCTGTATCCTCCGTATTTGGATGACTGTGCGAAGGACAAGCGTTCCACATTTCTCTGCGTGGATTCATACAAGCACACCAGCTGCTCTAGCTATAGGGCACGGACCCCCTGCAAATTCAGCAGCTCTGCAGAGGCAGATTACATAGCCCTCATGAGCACAGTACATCGATGCTTTTTCCCCCCGTGTTTTCAATACTTAACAGTATCTCTCTCACTGTTTGTGATTTCTATACCTAACTCCTCATAGCATAAGGTGCAGAGTATTCAGCAATGAAAATAGAAGAAATACATGCTTGCAAACTGCCATCTGGTCAGGTTATGGAGGGCTACGTATTTCAGCCTTGATTGCAAGCACGAGTGCAGAGAAACCCTTTCAAAGACTCTCTGTTGTGGAATAATTTCTTGGTTAAGAGGAGATAATGAGATTTCCTCCTCAAAATTCACTGAAGCGATCCAAAGCAGGACCACAGTGAGCTTGGTGGGACAGAGAGCCATGATGATGTACCTTTTCTGGCCAACATGAAGGCCTGTCTTCAAAGCAGAGAAAAGCCACGAAAAAACATACTGCAGTGTTCCCAGTTCCCAGAAAGCTGTCTGGAAGGACATGACTTGGGAGGAAATTGGCTGGTCCAAAGTATTTGAGAATCAATGGCTAAAATCTCAACTGTGCAGCTGTATGGACATGTGGGGGGAGAAGGCAGTAGATATGGGTTCAAAGCAGAGAAAAGCCACGAAAAACATACTGCAGTGTTCCCAATTCCCAGAAAGCTATCTGGAAGGCCATGACTTCCAGAAATTGGCTGGTCCGAAGCATTTGAGAATCAATGGCCAAAAACTCAGCTGTGCAGCTGTATGGACATATGGGGGGAGAAGGCAGTAGATACAGACGGGCAAATCAAAAAAAGTAAGTCTCTGACCTGAGTTTTTCTGCAAATTCACTGTGTATCAGTCAAAGAGGAGCAGGAGATCTGCCCAGGAGGAAAAAGATGAAGATGCCTTTACAATTAGTGCTGAACAGCGCATCTAGACTGTTGTAAGATCCTAGGAACGACACCCCTCTTTTCCCTTATGCCCTATGTGCCATTCACTGATATGCTCTTCCACATGGCCTTAAGGCAGCGTTCGGTTTGTGTGCGAGACAAGAACAAAATACCAACTAGTGGAAAAAAAACCCCAGAGTGCACCTTTGCACCAGACCGACACAAGCTCCTTGTGAAAAGCACCCACTTTCCTGCTAGAAGGAATCTTTTAAATGCCCAAGTCTGTAAGACAGATAGTCCATCCAGGGCTTTCGCTTGAAACTGCAGCGCTCAAAGCTCCCTGTAACTAAAATTCCAGAAGGGAATAACTATTACAAGAGAACTAAGCAAATATCTTTTGAAACTATCAAAGATAACTTGAAAATGATAGATAACGGCACACCCAGGGACAGGCAAGTACCGCAGCCAAGTACTTCTGTAGTTAAGCCACTAAAGTCATTAAAAGGTCAAAATGATGTCAGCTTCTGACAAAAGAAAACAGCCGAACGTATTGCTTATTGACTGCTGGACAGAGGGTTAACCGCCTGTTTCATAACGACAAGGAAATACAAACATATTCACTACTAAAGCAGAGCTTTGAAACTCAATGCTAACTTCGTAGTGCAGTTCTGCTTGAAGGAGTGGCTGTAAAAATGGCATTCTCCTACTCGAAAGATCTATTTCTTGTATGTTTTCTGGGTCACATCTGCTTATTTGAAACAAGATTTTTTAGGTTTTTTAATCCTGTTAGCCTGCAGACCAAAGACAGCAAATGGAAAGTGAGAGAGGCTCCTGAATGCCAGCCACTTAACCCCACTCAAAACAGAGGGGATGATCAGGCGTCAAGAAAAGGCCTGAGATTTGGCAGGCAGAATCCTTACGGATGCTGAAGATGCACAAGAAAGAAAGGAAAAAACCTGGGCTCTCAGACTCCAGGTTGCATATGGGAGGCTGGCTGCCGAACAAAATCTCTTCTCCTTGTAAACGGAACATATTTGGTGTGAAAAGCCCTGAAAGACCACACGTTCTTTTATACGGCAACCCCCGAGAGCGCAGTGCCACTTAACTTTGCCTAGAGAACCACAAAAAAAGCTGGCAAAATACTCTCTCCAGAGGTCACCTGGTGCCAATCCCCCGTGTGAGACTAATGCCTTTTGCAAAGGGTCGATCGTTCTCTTTTAATACCTTTATTAGAAGGAAAAGTCAGTTCTTTTCCTTCGCAGGATCTGACTTGGCTTTTTAGAGCAAGCATGACAGGGTTCAGCAATGCTTCAAAACCTGTGAAATCACAACAGCGATCCAAAGCACATGCCACAGTTTTATCATTCACCAGCTCTCGAGTTCAATTTGGGTTTCTCTCAGGCTACTCATTTCTTGCTGGTAAATTCCTATTCTCCAAACTGAATAACTGATTCTGCTTGAAACATCCCGCCCGTGTATCACTGTGGTTTCTGCATGCCTAATCCTACAGGACAGGGAGCTGGGACCTGGCAGAGCTGCCCTGGGACACGGGGACGAGTGCGGCCATCAGCCACGGGGCTGATGCGAGAGGCACAACGCTGCACCACCCCTCCACGGGCGGGTGGAAAAAATGAGGATTGGGAAGAATTACTACAGCAGTGACTCACAGGTTATAGGGCTGGACCGAACACAGTGAAGCAAGGTTTTTTGTTCTGGAAAGGAGCTATTTGAGTTCAAAAGCAGCATTGGAAAAGGCCTGTTAGAACGGGATCGAAAAAGCCATGCCAGCTAAGAAGGTTTTCACATTTTCATGCTTCCATGTCCAAAGGCACACAGTTCAAACTGAGGCAGCAATGCATTTCAAAAAGCAAAATACCATTTCCCTCATTAACTTGAAGACCCTGAAGAGACCTGGCCTTCTGTTTTTACCATTACACTAGAAAATCTAAAGCACTTTCTGCACGTCCATTCTAACGTTTGCTAATTCATCTCTGTACGAATCTCCATCCATTTGCACCCAAATTGCGATTGTATCAAAGGAGGTTTCCTTACTTTACTGGCTCCCATGACTCCCGCTCAAAGCCCCTGTGAATTGACTGTGCAATTGAGGACTCCATCAGATCGACATATCTAACAACAAGTGGAGCAAACAGGTCTTGGAGGTGTTTGTGGAATTTTCCATTGCACAAATTATCTAGAATAGATAAATAAAAGTATAGTAAGACACTAGTGTTACTGAAAGCTCTGTAACAAACCACAGCGTGGCACTTCATTACACAACGAATTTGTCAGCGAACAGGAAGAAACTTCAAGAACATAACAGGAGCTGGCATAAGGCACCAATGTATGGCTTCTTACTCCAAACAAATAAACAGACAACGAATCTTCTATTCATGTCAAACTTACAAATACATCATTACTTCCTGCGAATAAAACGGATGTAAGAAACGCAGCGTGGCAAACATCATGGCTTTAGCAGGTAGAAGAATCATTTCTTCTTTGGTTACTCATGACCACGATGCTGGATATTGCTGAGGATGAGTCCCTGGCTGTTTTACGAGGATGTAGCAAACTAACTGGGGGCCTGGTCTAACTGGAGGCAATGCCAATTCTGCCACCAGCTCGCCGGGGAGCGGTCAGACCACTCAGAAGAGTGCCAAGTCCCCACGGGCTTTGAAGGCATGGGCCCACGTGCTTCGGAGAAGACCCTCATTTCACAAAGCATTATTCTTCCGAACTACTCCTGCTCCCATTTACTTTAATATTTTCCTCCCTTCAGTAAAATCTTTTAAAGCAGGGACTGTTTTACTCCACGTTAAATAAATGCAGCACACACATATAAAACGATACGCACATTTAATGACAGTGAGATAGAGTACCTAATTCCCTGCTGATCAGGCAGTCATTACGAAGTGACTTGAGAAGATGAAGCAAAATAAAAGTTCAACTTCTCACTTCGACTGAGGCATTTGATTTAAGAGGTGTCTGTGTGCTTTTTTCTAGTGGGAATGGAACAAAATCAAGCTGATGCTAAAAGAGCATGTACTGTAAACCTCTACCCATCTCAGTTCTCTGTGCAGGAGGCCGGGGCTGAAAGTACTGTCAGTAACCTGAGCTGCCCACTGAGAAAGAAATGATCAAAATACAATACATACAGTCACTACGGAGGGAATCGTTTAGGAGCTGAAAGAGCGGAAAGCTGTCCCAGGTGTCTGGGGGTTGCACCTCTAACGCAGCATCCATATCCACTGCAAACAGTGACAGGAAGGTCTCCGCGTGCTCAACCATTAAGTCTGACCACCAAGCAAAGGCCTTCAGAGTTGGTAGAAAAAGATAATAAAGAAGTATATTAGTACTAGCAAAGCACAAGGAAAAACGTTAGGCCACATATCTCAAAAAAATTAAAGCGCATCCCATGGAAACTACCTTTATTGTAAAGAGAACAGTGCTTTCGAGTGCTAGCCTGCACAGGCAGTGCTAATCGCAGGAATTAGGCACTGCTATTTTAATACAAAGGTTTCTTGTAGAGGGTCTGTTCAGAGCTCCACCGTAAAGGCACACAGCTGTAACGTGGCAGAGGAGGTTTCGTCTGTTCAATTTACAATAAATGACTTCATTCATCTTTAACTATGCTAATTATCAGAAAAAAAATCAACTAATTCTTATTCTGAAGTACAGGAATTTGGGAGTTGCTTCACTGTGCTTGTGGGTTTTCTCCTGTGTTTTTCAACGGTTTAAATTTTATTTGGATTCACTACCTCTATCTGTCTTGAAAAACGAGAAGCCTAAGACATGAAAATCTGTCCTAAATCACTCACCCTCTCATTTAGAGATATTTCAAGCATCCCCAATACAGGTTATTACAGCACTGTTCATTTTACATGGTCAGCTATACACATCCATAGAAACACACTCCCACCTTCGTAACGCTGCTGATTAGGAAACCGATTACAAAGCTCTGTTATCAACATGCCAGGATCAAAAAAAATATCTACAGCAAGCCTATATTTTCCTAGAGGCAGGAAAAAAAAATATATCTAAACTAGAGAACCAAAAAATATCAGTGAAGTAACTCATTCTCATGCACACGGGTCCTTAAAATTTCGCTGTACGGGCTCTCTGGCGTGACATTCACATCATACATGGCTCAGATGTGAATGCTTCGAACGCATGCATGCGTGTTTAGTAATCACTTCTGGCTGGGAACATGCAATATGAGAAGTGCTGTCGTTAGGACCATGTGCTGTCATTTTGAAGTGATAGGAAATTACTCAGGGACTTAAAGGACCTGAGAAACAGCTCTCCGGCACTTTGCAAGAAAAAGAAACCTCTAGCATAGGCACAAGCCTGGAGATGAAACGGAAAAGGCTGGGAATAGATGAATTGGTTCGAAGAGGAATTGCCAGCCACGGAGGGGTATTTTTTGCCAGTTTTACCAGACATGAATAAGCAGAATGGACTTTCACTTTCTCAAGGTTCAGGTTTGATTCACTGATGCAGAACCACGCTGATGTGCAGAGCACAACTCCAGCTGCTGGTTCATTTGGCCATGGAGAGGGACTGGTACCCCAAAACCAGGTTACGGCCGCGGACCCCTTTAATTCTTCCTAGTTTGGCCTGACATCTCAGCTGCCAGCGATGCAGGGGTGCTCTGGGACTACTCCCACTCGTTTGTTCCCCCAAAATGTAAAGCAGACAGACATTGCCCTGCTATTATTCCGTACATCGGATGGACATGGCACTAGGCGGTACAGGCCCAGAGTGCACCCAAGATGTGAAATAACCAAAATAACCAAATTGCCCCCAAACTGTCTTTAGTACTGGGTCTGCCCTGTCATGGGGGTGAAGATGCAGATGAGGTGGGCTGCGCCGTGAAGGCATGGCTCTGGTGTGTCCAGGGGCTGGCTGGGCAGATGCCATGCCCCGAGTGGCAACACCAGCGGGTTACAGTGTCCCTGCGCTCATGGCGTGGGGACAAGGCAGCTACCCCAGGCTCCTTCGTCCAGACACAGCAGACGCCAAGCCATGGGCCTGCGGAGGGTCCTCGTCTGTGGTTTTCAAGGAGGATGCTGTGGTTTCTCTGGCTGTGCCGGAGCCTGCCACGCCGACAGTGCCCACAGCTCTGCGGGCAAAGAGCGAGCACTGGAGGCGAGGCCAAAGAATGTCTTCTGCAACAAATCCCAACATAAACACTTCAGAGTCCCGAGTCCAAAACCTGCTTCCATGAAAAGGAAAAAAAAAAGTGCTATTTTTAATAGAAATTATGAAGAAAAGCATGTGATCGTTTGTGGGGAAGGGGGGCCAAAAAAAAGCCCAAACCAGTCAGTTTCCCTCTTCCTGGAAAAGTAAAGAGGCCAAAGAATGTCTTCTGCAACAAATCCCAACATAAACACTTCAGAGTCCCGAGTCCAAAACCTGCTTCCATGAAAAGGAAAAAAAAAAGTGCTATTTTTAATAGAAATTATGAAGAAAAGCATGTGATCGTTTGTGGGGAAGGGGGGCCAAAAAAAAGCCCAAACCAGTCAGTTTCCCTCTTCCTGGAAAAGTAAAATTTTAGCTCTGTAAGTCTCTAACTTGCATCAGGATCCTCAACCTCCTTCTCCCTAAGTCCTGCGGTGGGAGTGGTTAACACCATCCTTTCAAAATCTCCTTCAAGATGGTAACATTTCCTTTATTTACCATCTACTTACCTGCTTTGCTTGGACCACAACGTAAAGGGGAAAAAAAAGTGTGCTTTCTAGCCAAACACACCTATTATCGTATATTTTACACATGGATACACATGTATATATGTATGACCTCAAGGGGTTAAAATACATATATACATATACACATACGTATACATAGAGAGAGAAAACACAAGTTTAAAAATAGGTGAATGGCATCGTCTCTGGCATTTGTCATCCAGAGGAACGGAAAGGGAGGTGGGAGATACCCTGATGGGAGGGATGACACAATGAGAGAGACCTCCCGCTCTCACGGATTACAGACGTAGGCACACGGTTTCTGCTGCGTTTCTGCCTGCGCTGGCTGGCTTCTCTCTTACGGGTAAGACAAACCCAACTGACTACGCACGGTACTTCTGTTTTTTGAACATTTTCCATGCTCTGAGTATCGCTTTTCTGGGTTCTCATTAGCGAGTCTGCTTGCATATCCATGTGGGGAAAGAAGGGGCACGTTTTAATTGCAAAAACTGTTGGCTTTCAGTAAATTAAGGCATCCCTTCAGTGAGCGGTGCAATTTAATTTTCTGTGGAACATTCAAAGTAGACCGAAGAGGCACATCTCGCAGGTCCAACTTTCTCCAGGTGAATGGACAAGTTGTCAAAAAAACCTCACCTGGAATAATTAAAAAAAAAAGTGCAATACCTCAGCAATTCTCATTGCACAGTGAGAGCAGGACGTGGCTACAACACATAATAAAACTCAGCGATAAACCACCCAGCCTCTTCTCTCTCTTCCTTTGGGTGCAATTCAAAGTGTGCAGAGAGCTGGCCAACTGCCTGTACACTGCTGAAATGCCACAGCCACCCTCAGGACAGGGATTCAGTAACGTCACCGACAGCGTGCCGGGCTTCTGGAGAGAGATGAATTTCACCCTTCCAGGTCACCGTTCAGAACAAGGGACCGGGATGCTGCCTATCCGTGTTGGCATTAACCTTCTGTCTCTAATCAAAACCTTGTGACACAAAAGATGCTGGAGAAGAGTTCTGAGTCTTCCTCCTGGTGAGGATCTTGGCTGGCTGAAGGAAGCCGCTTCCTTCAGAAGCCTACTACTGTCCAAATAACCTGCATTTCAGAACCAGCTCCATCCCGGCTGGTTGCACATCCAGCCCGTGCTGGTGACGAGGGGAATAAAACACTCGTTAACCAAGGACGGGTCGTCACCGCTCATGTGTGAGCGCAGCGCTCTCGAGCACCCCTTGGCTTTTGCAAAAAGAGGGTTTATGTCACTCTTCGCCCCCTATATTCTCTCTCTACATATAAATACTGTATATCCAGTACAAGGCACATACAGACAAAACCAGAGGAAGACCACTACCATTCTAGGCACTCGTGTAGTACTTAGTCCATCTCCACCACAGTGTACTAGAGGTCGGGTGAATGCGAAACGACAAGAGGTACAACAGGCTGAGGAGAGTCCAGGCAGGTAGGGTTGTGTTGGGATGTAGCTGCAGCGCTCGTAAAATATACCCAGTGCTACATGCATAGACCGGACTGCTATGCCACATTTACCCTCCGGTGTCAGGCTACCAGCTCCGCAAGCAGCCGACTCAAAGCTGCTGTTACATTCCTCGGTCAAAGTTACGGAAGCAAGGGCAACCCGGGTAAAATCCCAGTAGGAAACATGGCACTGAGAGGGCATGCACGAAATATGACAGGAGTGACTCGTTTCATTCGGTTTAGTCACATACCTCTTTCCCCTGCCAGGATCATCCAAGATTGAATGAACAGTAGAAAAACAGGGAGGAAATTTAAATATGCAATCAGGCATTAGTTGGGTGTTGTGGATTGCTTGTGTATTATCAATAAGTTAAGTTACACTGCAAATTTAATAGACATCGGAAAGATTTTTAGGTGACTGTGAAATTACTAATCAAATGCTCTTAATCCAAAATATAGTGAGTATATATATATATCAATGGGAAGGAAAAGAGAAAATAGTGAATGAGTGTTACATTACCTACAGTCATAAACAATAACTGTTCACTCTGAATTTTAAAACGATTCATTTTCCAACATGTATCCAAGAGTACCAGATCTACAGAGAACTCCAGGCTCAATCCTGCAAATACTTACACGGGTGTGCAACGTCACTTGCTCGGGCAGAAATGTCCCGACGTGCCGAGAGCGGGACTACAGCCAGCAGTGTCAGCTGCCTGGGGGGTCAAGTGTTTCCAGGATCAATCCTCCTGATTTTCTGGTCCATGTTTGACTATGACACCGTTTTGTGGTTTTAAAGCACGAGTATGTATGTTAAAGTGTTTTGAAGAGTTGAGAGTAGTTGTATTAGGCCTTGGATAACCCAAATAGTGGGTAACAGAGAATAATTCATCCTAACCTCCATGACTAGTAATTGAGGTATTCCCAATAAGCCAAGGCAGAAGAGGCTAACAGGAAACAAGGTGGGTTAATCACGCACCGCAGGGGCCCAGGGACACCCCTGGAAACAACCTGAATGCTCAGAATGGGACAACGGGAAAATTGTTTGGTTTTGTGGTGGTTTTCCTTGCTCCAGCTCTGCACAGCGGGAGCTGCCACAGGGACCCCGCTCATGTCTCCAGACGGAGGCACAAACACAGGACGTTATTTGGCAACACGACCTTTCTGGAAAGTGGACAGGCGTGCTCTTGCACGTCGTTGGTGGTGAATGTATTCGGCCAGATTCGGCTGGCGCTGTATGGGGCTGCAGACAGCCGCGGAGGAGAGCAGAACTTAACCAATTCCTTCTCCAGCCCTCCCTCCCCTCTGCAAAAGCCATCTCCCTGAACTGCACTGTGCCTCCATCGCACTCGAGCCCCGTTACTCAAGAATACGTTTGGCTTTCAGAGAAGCCGACCCAGCACCGGTTGGGAAGACATCAGACAGATACAGACAGCTCCGGGCAGCAAGGCACCGGCGCCCGCTGCAAGCTGGGGACGCGACCTCGCAGGGCACCGCTGCTCACCTCCGCATGGTGTTCTTCGTTTTGCTGTAGGACTTCAATTACCAATTCTGCCAGACGTATTGTGTCTTCTAACTTTTTAGCTGGTGTGACTAACCGGCCTACATTTTCTGTAGTACAAGAACTCGAGTTAAAAGGGAGGCAGGATGAAAAGCTAGGTGTACAGTAAGATATTTTAGAGGTTTAAAAAAAAAAAAAAAATCTCGTAATATTCTACAGCTTTAAAGATCTTTTCATGCATATGTTAAATGCTTATATAATTAGTACTGAGCAAACCAGAAAGCCACATTCGATATTCTACTATGAAAACACAGTGCTCCAGCTCCCAATTTCACAATACTGTCAGAGTTGTTTTGCTTTATGGTGTCACTTTATTAGCTCAAATAGGAACATCGCATTCCCTAAAGACAGCATCTGGCCACTAATATCCGAACAATATGTATCCTTCAGTGTAGATGATGCCATTATAGAACTCATGTCTATATTACTCTACAATACTTTTAAGAAGATCAGTTCAAACAAATCTGTCTGTACTTTTAATAAATTGTCAGACTTGAGCAATTTAAATGTCACCTGCTACTGAAAGCCAAAATTGCAGGTCTGCCTCGCTCCAGGATTTAACTCTACAAGGGTCAGGGAGTTACGCATGCTGGAGGGAGTGGAAAGTGGTAAATCCCACTAAGGGGTTCATAGGTAAGATCTATATGGGAAAAGAGATGCAACTTTACAGCAAAAATCCTGCAAACAAACCAGAGTTTAAATCCTGGAGCTTGGTGTTTAGCTATATTGAGCTATTTTGTAGCGTTTTCGGAAGACTTTTTAAAAGAATTCAATTATATCCCTCTAGGCAATTTATATTATCGATAACATATTAATGATCCAAGGTGGTAAAAATCTAGACCGTTTAGAGCATTTCACTAGAAATAGTAAAAAAGGAAAATAAACCAGTCGCGTTTTTATCACCCGTCAGCCTCCGCAGAGCTGGCTAAGTGCAACTGGGGGGGTTTCCGAGAGCTGACACCACAGCCCCCTTCCCCGAGGTGCGCAAAGCCTCCCGGGGAGAAGCAGAGCAGGAGACTGGCTCCCCGGGGATCCACCTACGCTGCCGCACGTCACCACATCTATCTGCGGACCTGTCCCTCCGGTTAACGACCGGGTGCCAACCCCGGCTCTCTAGCGCAGCGAAGGCAGAGAACGGCACCGTGCTCTGGCACCCACACCAGCCAAGTCCTACCACTGCACTGACGTATATTTTGCCCTCTCCGTGGTATAAAAGCTGGAGAATTCGTAAATGGGTGAAGTACCAAAAAGCAAATAGCCAGACCGATCTGCAATTAGCAGCGTACAACAGACGGTACGTCCCCGACACAGCGAAACGCTAGCAGCGCGTGCGCTGCGCCGCCGTGGCCAGCAGCCACCCTGGGATTCCCAAAGGAGCCCCGCTAAGCCAGCAGCTTGGGTCGTGCCGACACACTCCAGCCTTCTGCACGCATCCTCGTTTTGTTAGCATTTAGGACTTCTTTACTGATGGGACAGAAATTTGGGGTTGCACAGAGGTGACATCGCTCTACTGGGTCACCCGGGGAGAATCCCTGCCTTGCTCAAGGCTCAGCTTCCAGGACTGAATTCTCCCCCTCCAAATCTTGCCTGCTCCTAGTTTTCCCTGAATACCTGCTTACAGTTAAGAAAAGGAAAGCCATGTTTTTCAGAACGGTCACAGCTGGGCACTCAGGCGAGGGGTGCACAGTCAGGCTGGGAGATAAGGTGGCAATGCACCGCGCAAATGAACTCTACATTTTTGCTGATTTATGCCACAGACAGGGGGTTTCTTCTCCAGCTTTCTTATTGTTCCTTGTGTCACTGGAAACAAAAAAAAATTCCTGGTTCCCCTTAATGTAATTTACTGGGCAAATACTGAAACTGGAAAACTGCTGGTTAACTCGTCATTCTCCTCAATCCCGCACCGCACTGGCACCAAGCACTAGAAACCTCTTCCTTTTGCCAAAGGAGTCCAAAGTCGTGTCCCTTAGTGAGCTCGGGTTGCTTCTGCACCTCTGAAGCCAAGGGGAAGCTTTTCCATTGATCAGAGCAGCATCAGGCCCATTCGCATTTGCAACACTGATCTGCTCTCAAATACAACTCAAAGACAAAAGTGTTAATAAGAACAACTGCTCAGAGATGCTGTCTTTAAAGAAAATATTGATGCTTATACAACTTTGGCAGCCAGCAGATGTCAATCTTAATTTTTTTTCTTCTTATTTTAAATATTTCCCTGGTTAAGTTACTATACATCAGAATATTCTGCTAAGATAGCTGGAGCACTGACAGTTACATGAAACGTATACGATATACTTATCAAACATTTCATCCAACATCATGTAAAGCTCATACATATTTATAGTTTTCATGCAAAATGTTATGCAACAACAATGTTATTTTGTGCTGACGTTGATATTTGAAAATGTTGCATATGTCAGACATTGCTAGACAAAAAAATGGACATTTTGAAATAAATGCTACCTCTAAATCTCTGAAGCCTACGACATCGCGCTAGGTGTTTTGTACCGAGCTGCACGTGAGCACTAGCCTTCTACGACTACACCAGCGACTGCTAGACTAGAAAACCACTGAATAAAAGGAAGGAAGACTATTACAGTACTTGGCGGCTGTTTGGCCATGCCTTTGAGCATATGATTGATCATGTTAGTCTGCGTTTGAGGAGATGACGGTGGCCCAGCCGGCGGCTTAGGCTTGGATGGACGGGCTGCTCACGCGTGACGGAGAGAGACGCCAAAAGTAAAGAGACAAATGACTTCATAAACAGTGACAAAAAGATGGAAATTTTGAAAGGAACGTAAGCAGTAATGATCAGATACAAATGGAATAAGCTGCTGGGTTTTGGCGTAGTGCTACTTGAAGTATTACGTGGTAATGACACCATTTGACAACACACAATCTACAAGTCAGCGGATTCGAACACCCTACGGTGCAGTGCAATCAGAAAGCTAAACACCCAACGCAAGTACGAAACTGCGCGCGAGGAGACTGGAATTCAGTTAAAACTCCAGGATTCAGGAAAGGTGAACTCAGGAGGATGACTTTAAGCCAGCGCCTCGGTGCTTAGGTACATTTAGCAATAGAATAATGAGCCACAGGAATTAATTGCTTTGCAAATATCAATTACACATTTTAGAATTAAACGTCACTGTTGGTTAAAGGGAGCTATAAAATATTCTTGTGCAATTTAAACATGTAAAAAAATCTGTCACTTAAAAATGTGTGGTTCCTGATCGTTTCCAGCTCATTTAATTATTTTCAACTTGGAATTCTAGTGGCTTTTATATTCTGGGTTGAATCATATATAAAAACTTGCCAGCTCTATCAAATATGTTACTTGCTATTCCAAATGTTAGAATACTGCAATCAGGACTTGACCCATCTGTCATATAGTTTACAATATCAGCATAGGAAAAATTCAAAGAAAATAGCCTTTCCTTTTACATACACTCAGATAATAAATCATATACTGTGAATATATTATCACAATAGTTTCTATTCCATTTAATAACAGTTTTTAGCAGTATTGTGACTATTTTTAATAATGCCATTTGCAAGGAATCTGGCATATTTATCTGGACATTCTATTGCCAAAAGTCCTTGCCATTTCGCTTGCATTTTCCAGTGGGGAAAAAAAAAAAAAGGTTTGGCTTGTGCAAAGTAGGTTTCTGATTGCTTTTAATCCTCACAGAATTATAACGCTTATCAAAGTATAACGAAAAATACTCGAGTAAACCGTTAGTTAAAGAGTATGAGTTGGGTCGGTTCTCCTCTCCATACACAGAGATAGATACACACACGTACATAAACACACATACAACGCACACGTGCACACACACGCACACAGATTTTTAGTCTTTTGAGCTGTGTAATGGCCTGATTCAGACTCCTAGATCCAAGCTACTGGTTTCTGGCTTTTTTTTGTTTGTTGTTTACAGGAAAAGCAAATCTATTCGTTCATCTCTGGAGTCATCCTGATCCTCGTTCAATGTTTACCAAGGGTGGCTTTGTCCCCAGACACAAACCTCTCAGCCTCAAGTGACAAAAATAACTGCTTTTTGGGCATTGGCCTAATGACTTTCACTCTAATTTAAAACATAAGCAAGAATTCAATTTGGCTGCTCACTGATAGCTCCTGAGCTCAACATGTAGATGTAGCAAGAGTATTTTACTGCCCATCCCTACGGAGAGCAGCTTGTGCCAAGATCCCGCGTGGGAAGGGACTGCACATCTCCTCCCACCCTCATCTGGCAAGCGCATGGTGGGAACCTCTTATCATCCAGGGGAGCCCGTCAGGCTCCAAAGTTGGAAGAGTCAGAGAGTGCAAGCTCCTCCGGAGAGTGTCAGAGCCAGGGGAAAATCAGATCCCAGAACTGCATCCTCAGCACCCTTAAATGTGAGCATTCTAAGCATTTTTAAATGTGAGGCCAGCCCCTGCACTGCCTACGGCTACCCATCGAGAAACAGATTCCAGGCTTCATGGACATCCAGACCCCACAGCGTCGCATGGGCCTGACTTGTGCACGTGTTTTCTGTCCTAGGGACGAGTCAGTAGCAGAGGAGAAAGAGGCAAGAGATGCAGCAGCACCGGGAACCTCACGAATCGCTAGTGCAGCACATACAAGACCGCTCGGAGGAGGCTCCCGCTGTGCAGTTGTCAGCACAGTGCCCTGGGTGTCTTTCACTTCGCGGGGAGGCCCGCGAGAGACACCCCCCCAGCCCTCCCCGCGCTGCCGCCATCTCCTGGCTCTTGACAAGAAGCTTCCGCAAGGGATTACAGCCGGTTCGGCAAGACATTCTTGGTGTAATTCTGATCTGGCCCAATCTGGACAAATATTCAGCTCTTTTGTTCATTTAAATTCTTCAGACCCAAATCCAGGGCTCTTGCACGAAGCTGCAAAACCACCTGGACCAAAGGAGAGGAGAGGAAGAGCTCTCTCCCATTATCCCCAACACCCATTTTTCTTTGTTGCCTCTTTTTTTGCAAGAATATTTAAAAGATTAAGGTCTGGCTCAGGAAAGTGATTAATTTCATCCGTAAATTCAAATACAAGCGGGGCTGCAACCGCAACGCCCTGCGAGGCACCGGGGTTGATGTGCCGCTCTGGGTCCAGGTCTCGGAAGGTGCCTTTCACCGGGTGTCTCGGCTCCTGCTCGGAGCGAGGGGGATGCACAGTGCTGGATGGGTTTCATGGCACTTGCCAGCGATCGGCTGCAGTGCATGTGGCAGGTTTTGTTTCACTTCGGCTTCCTTTCCTTCCCTGTCCTTTTCCTCTCTAACCCCTTGCCACAGCCAGTTTAGCATCAGAAATGCTCTCATATTCGTTGCTCATCTGTGTCAAATGGATAAGATTTAAGCACCTCCAGAGCTGAAATTTGAGGCAGGAGCAGCTTATGCTTTACCAAACACTGGACCAAGTGCTTTCCTGGACAAACTTCTACCACAGGTTTTTACGCTTCTGCATGACACTTACAAATAAAATACTTGCAGAAACTCAAAATTACCTGGCAAATTCTGGGGTTGTGCTTGCAACAAGCTTCAGCCTGCAATAAGTATAACAGGTATATCAAAAAATCTGTGCTACTTTGGGTACGTATATTGCATCCAATTCATTGTGTGCAACTCTTCAGGGAATGGAAGATTTTCAAACTATGTGTTACTCAGCATCATGATTTCTGCTGGATGGGCTACTCAGCAACAGTGAGAATTACACTTGCAATAGAAGAGTATCCTTGACTTTTCAAATTTTTAAAAGCGTAGCCACTGGCTCAATGATTTCTGTGTAATAATTAAAAATATACAGCTCCTGCCAGAGGCTTTGGTATGCAAGCGTTATGTGTGCGTTCACTTGCGAGCCAACCATGGAAATGATAAAAAAGAGCTGCTGTTCTCAAGATAACTATAAAGAATAACGGACTTAGCCTGAGGACGAGGCAAAGTAGCCTATTATTACATTCATGAAATGAATTTGCATGTATCTGAAAGGGATTTCAGTGACGATACAATTTTTCCTTTCGAAATAAGATGTGTTATCTTAAAAGCAAGAAAAATTCTTGGAAATGGTTATTTTTTTCAATTCAGAAAGAGACTCTAATTCAGCTCTCAACACCCAGCATACTGAAAAGAGAACTGATCTCCCGACTTTCTGATGATTATTCAGCCTAGTGAGGAATTTTTGCATATCCGAATTACATCTCATGCCTCAGGCGGCAAGTTGCTCTGCAGTTGGTAAGAGACTTGGAGAACGATAACGGCACAATGCAGATCTTTGTGATTTCTGAAGCTCTTGTAATAACTTTGATACTGCTTTAAACACTGCCTTTGAAAGGGCAAGAGGAAATCTTGAAAGCTGCGTAATGGCTCTCATTAAACACAACTGAATGCCATTTCCAGGAACGAAGCAAAGCAAGCCGCCGTTCAGCAGCACACAACGCAGGTTGTAGTCACGCCTGAGTTCAAGTGCCTCATTTAGGCTGCCTTCAGTCTCCACTCCCTGCGACAAAGACTGATGTTTTCCTATGTTTTCCATCAGTATTTATCTGGGGAACGTAATAATTACTTTTATTTAAGCTTTGTGGTTTATCACAAATGCTGGGAGGGATTGCCTGGCAGCGGCTGGGCTGACAGTGGCACAGGACCTCTCCTTGTCTCGGACCAGGTTCATCAACCGGCAGCTCTGCCCCTAATCCTTCAGTGCGCTCGCTGAGAGTCTCAGACGCGCACAGAGCTCCCAGGGCTGAGATCCAGCAACGCGGAGGGCGAGTGACGGGAAGCAAGCATGGGGACTGTGACCAGGGCCAGTACAAATGCCCTGACAAATACCACTGCTTAACCCCGTGCTGTGTCGCTCTAGTCGAAAAGCCACCTCTTCTGCACCCACTCCCTGGGCTGAGGATGCTTTCCATGCCTGCTGGGGCGAGCACAAGATGCTCCACGGCCAGTGCCAGCTGAGGCTGCCGCAGCCACCGCGCTCGGTCCCTCTCCTGCGGGGACAGCTGGGTCCCCAGCCTGGCGCGGGCACCTGAGAGGTGTCTGTCTCCGCATGGGCATCGTGGCTGCCCCTGGCTGCTCCCTGGGCAGCTCTGACCCCCCCAGGGTTCAGCTTGGCACCCACCCCAGCACCACCAGCTGGTGGGTTTTCAAGGGAAGTCAGGCTTCCCCACCAGCCTGGCTGGGAGGGACCGATCCGAGCAGGACAGTGCAGCGTGGCACGATGCTGCACCTCCGGAGCCCTGGCAAGGGGAAACCTGACTTTTTGGGATAGCCCAAGAGTAGCTGATTTCCCCTGGTGACAGAGCAATAGGATTTCAGTGGGTTCCCTCTGCTCTCCAGTTTCTTTCCACTTGCAGTCTGTGCCCCACTGCTCCGAGCAGCGAGAGCTGCCTCCATCCCCACGTCCCCTCCACTTCTCACCCCTGTGCACCAACCCAGCAGTACCACGAGAAGCCTCTCTTTACACAGACCAAACCCAAATCTCAGTATGAGAATTACTCAGTCTGAGAGCTAAAAAAACCCACAAAGAAGTCTTATGCTAAACACACTCAACTGCCAAACGGACAACCATCCCCTCGTCTGACATGACCTCTAGAGTTGCCTGTACCCAACGCCAGCAGCACAAAGGGGCACCGTGTTGGTGGGATCCCACGGTGCCACGGCACCCCAGCACAGTGCCGTGCGTTTCACAAATCCTGCGCTCAAGGCATGGAGGAGTTACTCTTTTCTAAAGGCACGATGGATTCCTGACTTACATAAATAAGCAGACGAATGCTTATTAAAAGGTTGCACTTATTAATCTGAGTGTTCGTAGCTTTGTCTGATTAATAATTAAAACAAGTCATACATCTTTAATTGTTTTAGTGTCACATTCTGTTTAACGTTCTATTTCAAATCAGTATGTTTAAAGCGAGGCAAGAGACTAAACGCTTTTCAGGAGAAAGGACATCAAAGGGTGACAATTTTGTGTTTAAGAAGTTGTTTTCAGTATCTTATTTTTATTCTTGCTTTTGGCAAAATAAATACCAAGTCAGGCCAAAACCCAGTCACTTTTGACTCCACTTAAGCTGAGGAACCGGTGTTGAGTCCTCCTGACCTTGCCTGAAAATTTTTCATTGGAGGTAATGGGAGATTTGTGGGCACGAAGCAGTGGAGTCACAGCTCCCTGCGTCCTTTCACTCACTCTGAGCATCGAGAAGGAGCAGTTTTATTTTTAAACGAGCTGGGCCATAGCAATGTCCTTCTGAATTTCTGGTTGAAGCACGTGGCGAGCCGTGGCAGGCAAGCGCGTTGCTCGGTGCGTTTACTGTGCTTAATGCGCAGCCACCTGCGCTCGCTTTAATCGCTGCAGTTAATGGTAAATAGCTGGGAATGTTCTGTTTGCTTATTTACACCTCTCACAGCCAGAGGGAAAAAATTATTCTCCATTTTCTAAATATTTATTGCTATTCAAAATTAATTTTACTGTCATGCAATAGCTCTAGACCGCAGGCCAAATTCGAGCTGTGGGGGCCTGGGGAAGCCTGGCCCAGCCTCCTGTACTACTCTTAAAAGCAAGTTCCCTTTGCAAACTGAGCTAAAATCAACCTGATGATTTTTTTTTTTCCCCTCTCCACGAAACAGAACAATCTACTCACAAAAAGAAATGAACAGTTCAGGTTTCAAGGACTTTGGAACTGGGATACAACAGAAACGAGAACAGGGGCTGCAGAGCTCCACCACCCCTTCTGAAGGGACGGGCTCTTGAGCTGAGCCTTTGCCTTCTCACATGTCACCACAGGTCATAAACGAGAGACAAACACGACTTCTGCCCAACCGGACTTTTTCTTACACATTAACGAAAATATTGAAAATTAAAAAATTAAGAAACCCAGCCCTTCCATCAGGGCATAAAACAGAGGGTATGAAAACCAAAAATGAACGTTAGTTTAGTTATAAATGTGCTTGTTAGGTGTGTTACACTAATGGCCAAATCACCAACAGTTTTTTTTCACCAAAAATGAGCTGCAGTGCTCTTGGAAACAGGAAACCTTCTCTTTAGAAGGGCTGGAGACCCCTAAGTAGGTACGATATGGCTATAAGGTATTTCTAATCTACACTCTGTTCTAAGGAAGGAGGAGGAGGTGGTTACGTAGACAGCACAAATTAACTCCTTAAGTATGAATGCATCTCCAAGTTCAGCCTGAAGGAGTACATATCTTAAGGAGCTATGAGAAAATAAAACAAAGTAAATATAACTCAACAGTCCTAGCAATTTATAATGCATATACAATTGTTCACCTGCGTCCTTTTGATTCTCTATATGAAAGAGAGAAAGCAACAGGGAGAGAAAAGAGAGAAACAAGAACAGATATGCAGGATTAATGAGCAAGTGGACCGCACAGCCCCCCAGTTATGCGTGATATATGACATTTGAAAAGAAGAAAAGTCGCCCCCCCCCCCCCCCCCCCCCCAAAGCATGGGGTTACCAAAAGAAGCTCCTTTCACAGAGGCGAAATAAAACGCTGCACAAATAGAAAACCAGAGAGGGTGAGCTCTGAGGACACGGAGGGGATCTCCAAGTGACAGCGGGGCTGGGACGTCCCCTCCAGAGCTCGGTGCAAAGGAGTAAGGAAAAAAATCGAGGAGGAGAGCGAGTAAAGCGCATCCTTCCGCTCGAGAGCTAACAGACAGGAGACACGTAAGATCTGATGTACAGAGAAAGGACAGCCTCATACGATCTTATACACAGGAGCGGGTAAAGATCTGATACGCAGGCGAAGGGATGGCTTTTCCCGAGTGTCCTTTATCTGACCTCTAGCTCACTTCTCCCCGGTGTAGCTGCTACCTTTTGATTGTGTACCAGTGACAAGCACTTTACAAATTGGGGTTACACAGAAGCAAAGTAAAAATGCATTCAGGTCACGGACATAAAGAAGAACTGAAAAAACTTACAGACGGTCTGAGTTTGTCACAAACAGATGGGTTAATTGTCTAACCTGGTTTAGGCTGATAAAAAGTGACTGGACTTCTCACACTGGGTTTCACAGACAGAAGCAACAGACAAGCCAATGCTAAAAGACTTGAAGCAAGGAGAGTGAGTTGGTTTGGATCTGGACTTTCTTGAGGTAATGAGAACAGAAAGAGTGAGGACAGCATGGAGAGGAGGGTGGTAGGTACTCACGAATGGTTAAATCCATCACTTGAGAGGCCAAGCAGAAGACAGGATGCTCATACATTTCTCTCTTTTTCCCTATAAAAGAGGATTTGGGCATGCAAGAGGCTTAGGTCAGAGGTAAAGAGGTTATAGGCTATAGGTCAGAGGAAAACTTTATATTAGGTTAAAAAGAAAGTAGCCGTAGAGTATTTTGGGATACACACAGGATAAAAGGAAGAAAAAAAAGAAAAAGAAAAAAAAAGAGGAGGGTTAAAATTGGAGATCTACTGGATTAACCATTCAGCATGCCCATGAGTCACAAGAGAGGCTGTGACCATGACTCTAGAGGTTTGCTCTGAACCGTTTGCCAGAATATAATGATCAAAACGTCATGAATAGAGGGAAATAGAATTTCATCGGTTTAAGGCTCCGAGATACTAAGGATTTCAGCCTTCAGTATCTAAGGCTTTCACAGGTATTTCTTCATAAGCATAGCCTCAAGCACCGCTGCCACTGATCTGGTTCTGCATCTCCAACAAAACTCTCTCAAAGGTGTGGCTATTCAAATGTCAGCTTTCCCAAGCAAGATCTCACAGCCACGTAAGGCGCGCAGGAACGCACCTCGCCCAGGTAAATCTGTTATTTGCCCTTCTAAGGAAGCATTTGGACACGTAGTGGACTATGCTCATGAGAGAAAACCTGATGCATGCAGCTGGCGGATGTTGGGTTGTTCGAATTAACAATCCCAGCATGCTTGGAAATTGGTGTTACAACCACTTTTATAAAGACAGTATCAAAAAGTGGCTGTGGCCAATCACGGAAAAAGGAGGAGAAAAGCAGAAGAGAGCAGGTAGTGTGGAATGAACTATTTCTCTGAAAAAGGTAGCTGGAAAAAAATAGGTTTGTTGCTTCAAAGTATTCCCAGACCTAAAAGTCACAGTGCGAAAAAGAGGGCAGATAATTAACACAACCAAGAAGAATTGAGGCACAAAAGGAAAAGTACACACTAACTGTTCTACTTTGGAAATGAATGCATTTTTACTTACAGATCATAAAGTTTGTTTTTGCATAGATTTATCTGAAAGAAGAGAGCAAATCTTACCAACGAGTTAGTGATATTTACACAGAGAACCTAAGGGAGCCAGCCCTGGGTAGAAGCATCCATCAACAGAAAAGCTGCTTTTGATTCTCAGTCCTTCTCCATCCTCCTCAAGCATATTTAAACATTGCATTTTACAGAATACACCAATTAAAATATCCTCTGAAGCTGAGTACTTCGATAAATTGCCTGATAATACAGTGCTTATGAAACCTTGGTTCCTTCTCTATTTTTGTCACTCATTACCAAGTCAAGAGTTGATAAACATCCTTTTAGTGCCCAATTCTTAAGTGTTTCTCACTGGATGCATAACAATGAATTCATTACCACTGGTACACAATTTGCATCGTTAAACAGAAAAAAAAGAATGGAAAAAGAGAGGACATGTCATGTACAGAACCTGGACAATTTGTCATATAATAACCCAATTTTTCATGTAAACAAGAACTAAGAAACAAATCAGAGGGAGTTTGGGGTTTTGGGGTTTTTTTTTCTCCTCTCAATATTGTCCTGGAGGCATACAACAATAATCTCAGCTGTGGGAAAGCTTCACATCACACATGACAGAAACCCAAAGTCTAGAGCAGAACATACCAACCATCTGGAACACACAGGTTTAAGCAATTGGGAACTCGGATAAAGTCGGGTAGGAGTTTCAAGTTGGGAACAGCAGCCAACAAGGTACCAACGCAAACTGACTAACACGTAAAGAACGACTGGATCGTAGAGCTTCAGTTAACACGTATCCTCTAGCAAGCTTTAAAATGTCTTTTTGATGGCTACATGTGTCTCTGGTCGCTGGTTATTATTCTCCCGTAACTTAAAAGGTCAATAATATCAGCTATGCCAGATTTAGAGTGACAAGAAAGAAATCTGATGCAAGTGTGGGATCCCTGGTCAATGGCTGCTACGCAAGCTGCAAAGACAATGAAACACTCCCAGAAAAAAAAAAAAGACATTTTAAATTGGCTACAAATGATTAAGCATAGATTAAACAGTTTTTCAGCTTATTTTTCATTTGTTTCCTGAACTCCACTGTCACAAGCAATTAGCTGCACTATACCTTCAGCTGCAAAGATGACATCCCAAGTATTCCTCAATTTGTTTTTTAAAACCCCAACATGAGTCTGAATACTGCACCACTGGCCAAATGCACTAACGATCAAAAGCAAAAAAAAGCTACAGTTCCTTTTAACTGTTTCCTTTCTCTTTTCCAGAAAAAGCAGTGTTTTGCATAGCTTCCATTCTAACTGCTTCCGAAGCCAACACCACAAAAATGATTCAGAGTCACATCAGTTTTATTGACAAGCGAATAAATAGCAAACGAGCTTCTTTTAAATAGCTCCCAGCCACAGTTGCCGCCTAGAAACATAACAAAATTGTAATTTCATAAAGAAAGAGCCTTACCTTCAATTTTGGCATACTCTGATAGTCGAGTATAATTGACTAGAGCTGCTTGCTCCAAGCATTTACGGATGACTGTTTTTACCTCCTCTTGAGGGACCGGAGTAACTATGTCTTTCATCAGAACCTTGACACAAGAAAATCTGATTTGTTGTGGCATCGGGCACACAGAACTGCTTCTCTCCAAGCCCAGCACATACATCCATTCCTAACTAGTGCTGCCTGGCTCTCAGGGTATGTGTACGCTATGCAGAATCTACTACAAGGTCACCCTGGCCAGCTTGAGACGTGGGACCTACCCCTGCCGTATTTTTCCCCTTCTGTATCTGTACCCTATGGCATGCCCTGAAATCTGTGCTTCTGATTTTTTTAGGGCATGACATTAAGATCTGTCACAACTTGCCCAGTGCCAGGCTGTGCTGATCGACTTGGGTTTAGGTCTGGGTTTGGCCATACTGCGGGTTAGCAGAGGTGAGGAGGATGTCAGAGCAGCAGGAAGGCTGAAATAGGGATGTGGAGGATGATGGTGAGCAGGTTTCATACATCCAGGGGGAACAAGGCTGCCTGGAGATGGGAATTTCACCAGACAGCAGCCAGGCATCGCTTACAAGCGTGTACGGCGCAGATGCTTACCAGGGAGATCCTCCACCCTTCTCTACCAACCCAGACGCAAGCTGTGCTGCCTTCAGTGGCCAGGCTACACACCTGCCTCCGAGAGAGAACACCCCCTAAACCCCCATATTTCAGTATTAACTACCATTAATCACATGTCCTAGGCAAATCCAACAGTTCCTCAGGCTCTTCTAGATGGAAAGGTACATGAATACAAGTGATTTTAACTACTCTCTGTTACTCTCACCCTTTCCAGCAGCGACAGAGTAGCTTTCAGTGCACCTTCCGGACGGCCAAATGGAAAGCAGTACCTAGAAAAAACACATCATGTTAACATCAGACCAGGTGCACGTGAACAAACCTTTCCAGAGCTATAAAGATGCTTTCCTAAACATGCCCAAGCAATTCCCTAGTTCTTCTGCCCGGAACGAGCAGTCTTTTCCGAAAGGGTTTGATGGTGTGGACACTAAGGCAGCGAAACAGAATATGGGACAGTAATAAGCTGGTAGTTTTAGCAGCTTATTAAATCTGGGTGTCACTTGGGGAGTTTTTAGATCTCCTGGGAGAGAGATAAATCTCATATTTTTGTAAAAAAGGAAAAAAACCCCAGCCCCTCTGGAAAGGGCATTTGCTTCCAGGCGGAGACCTGGCGATGCTCCAGGCTGCAGGTAACTGGCTGCGCCAGCCACCGTCCCCGGCGAGTGGCAGCTCCGAGGGGCTCCCGCAGGGACTCCGTGTGTGAGTGCACATCCGTCTGCTCCAAACATGCACCACCCGCCCAGGACCCGGCTGGCGCTCAGGGGGCAACCCAGCCCTCTTGGGGGGCCACTATCCAGCCTTTCCCTGCTGTGACATCCCTGCAGAAAGCCCTGCCTGTCTGAGTACCAGGGAGAAGGGAAAACAAATGGGTGATAACTGAGCAGAGGGAAACAGAGAACTAAGAGGAGAAGGGATTATTTTTGTTGTTAAATATTAGAAAAAAATCATGCCTGTGGGAGCAAGATGGTTGGAAATACCCTTTAAAGGTTACATACTTAAAATCACTCTCCAGCTACAAACATGCTACAAGCTTCACTGCCCTGGGTAGGGCAAAATTTCCGTATGCATTCAAAACCTGCCTTTTGGCTTTGCTGCTTATAGGAGGGAGCTGGGAGGAAATCAGTCCTCTCGCATTCAGCCTGGGCTCTCTGCCTTTACCTAAAATGCGTGATCTGATTCTCCAGAAGCAAACGAAGCCGCTCCTTGATCTCTTCGAAACGCTCTTTCTCGTCTACGGTCACAGTTCCTATCCCGTCAGGCCTGGAGGAGAAATGCCAGGAATGACTCAGGCTCCACCTCGCCACCCCGGTAACTCATCCCACGGCACGCTGCCCTTGCAGAGAGGGACCTCGCCAACCCCGAGACCCAGGGCAGAGGATGTGCCACGCCGAGACACGGGTGGTCACGGCAGCACGGCTGATGAGGTGTCAAAAATAAGCAAATAAAGAAATGTCCCCTCTCAGAGTGATAATTTGGATGTGGACACCACCTCCCCACCCCTCCTATCCCTTTATTTTTCCTATGACAGAGAAGTCTGCAAAAGCAGAACCCGCTTTTACGTACAGGTCTGCAGGACTGGGCTCATCACTGGCAAAACAGGGACTCTATTTCTGCGGGAAAATTCAGCTGCTGCTTGAACACGGTTTGCAGTATGAAAGAATGTCAACATCAGGCACATAAACCAACAGAATATGAAGTTCTGCACTCCTTCATAGCTGCCGAATCACCCATTCTAGTGATTCCCTGAAGGGAACCACCTTCAATCTATCCTGCCGAAATGTGCCTGGAGAGCGACGTGCGTTTTGTGTTTGAAAATGCAACGCCTCTTCCGTCATTTAACTTTAATTTATGAAAATGAACACAACGATACAATGTATCAAAGGTTTTCTCGGAGGATGCACTACACTCTTGCGTTCCAGGAGTGCACAGAGGCGCGTTGTGAGACACCCAGGTCCTGCTGCCCGGGGTATTTCTCATCTTTCACGGAGCACAGTGTGCAGGTGAACCCTTGCTGCAGCTCTCCCGGGGCTGGATGATGCCGTGGGTCCCTGTGCTCTTCCACCCCGTACCTCCGCCGCTGCCAACCCATCCAAGAGCCGAAAGCAGCAATCCCCTCCTTCTCCCCCGCACCCACACGGCCAAATACGCTGCGCAGCAGAATCCCGGGCGAGAGGAGAGAGCGACTCTAATCCACCCACCAAAGAAATCGGCCAGGCAAGACAATCAGCGGCACCGCTCCCCACGGCCGGCGAGCAAAGTCTACGGATCTGCCTGCTCCTGGGCAACTCTGCTGGCACAGGCGCTCTTTAGGTAATGTAAGATGTCTTAAAATTGAACAAATGTTCTTACTTAAAGGCCTCCTCCAGTGTTCAGCTTAAGCTGCATAAATCCGTAGTACTAGACTGGTTTGGCTATACAAAAGACTTGGCAAGGGATTACAAAGCTTCTAATGAACCTCCTGTCAGGGGTTAATTGGTTGGCTTTATTTTCCTCTTAAAGAATCAAAGGCCCTAAACTTAAAAAAAAAAAAGAAACCAAAACCCACCAAAACCCCAACCCTATAAAAAATTAAAAGCTATAAAATCTGCGCAATCACTTCTACATGACCCTGTTTGTAGGAAGTTCTTGATATCATAAATACGAACTCTGATATTCCGACACAGGTGAATAAAGCATTAAAACATTTTGGAAGAGGAACTAGCAAACCTTACATGATATTTACTGTAAAATTTTAAAGCTAAATATACATTAAATAAAGCTTGCAACATGGACACAGAAAGAGACTTGAATACCAAGGGGCTGTATTTAAATTTAAACAGCATTTAATCAGAAATCTTTACTTGACTATTTGCCAAGTTCAGTTGTGTATTAAGGAAAAAAAAGAAGAAAGATTTAGGCTGAAACTTGGATAAAATGTCTCAGCTGGGGAACACATTTCATAAACAGTTTTGGAAGTATGGATCTGGTCTCATTAGTACCTAATTAGGACTAGTTATTTTGAAGAAATGAGCAAGCCACAAAAAAACCCCAAATTAGATATCGAGCAAAAATTAATGTCTGAACATGCTTACTATATTTTTATTCCAAAGTTCCATAAAATATTTAATATTCAGAGATGTTCATGCCCCTTATGATGCCGTGCACCTCGCGGTGCCTGGTCTGCTCCCAAGCAGAAGAGCAGATAACTCCAGGCAGACAGCAGTAAAAGCCGTACGTTAAGGGGCAGGGTTGAAGCCCTCATTTGACTTTTGGCATTCGGCTCAACCCCCCGTACCCATAGCAGCTCAGAGAGTGTCACTAGGTTAATTGTATCAGCGCTGACAAACGAGGTAGGAAAAGCCGCTTGCCCTGGCTGTGATCTGCTGATGGACTGGAAATGGTCTGAAAGTTATGTTACCCTTTGCTGGGTCAGTAACCTCAACCGGCGAGATTTAACGGCAGGATGTGACGGCTCGGTTGGGTCGCAGCCCTTTCACACGTATCGCAGCTTCTCACTGCATTGTAAGGGCTTCGGTTTTGGCAGAACGGGTTATCTAGCGCCCACCATGCAACGACTCGCGTCGGACACCCAAAACGGGCTGACGTGACAGCATGTCACATCCCACTGGGCAGCGGCATCTCTGCGTGCCTCACTTTGGAATCACCGACCCACGCAAAGACAAAGGATGGGCTCTGGAGAGCAAACCCCTGGCCAACGCGGCGCTCGCCCACGTCACAACACCCCAGCGCATTGCGCAGGGATGACAACCGAACCGCCGAGGTTGTAGACCACGTCACAGACCACGTAGGAGAGCAGCTTCCTGCCCTAGTGCTTAACCCGCGGTCACTCCCTGGTCTTCGCCTTTTTCTGGGGCTTTGGGAGCCAGGAGGACATCAAACCCGGTGGCTGCAGCCACCGGTCCCTCCACGCAGGGCCTGCCGCGTGGTGTAAACGCGCTGCCCTCACGTATCATGCACTGCAAACTTGAGACTATCTACAGGTCAGCTGTAGCCATTTTTGGAGCAGCGCGGATGTCTGGAAGGGCCTGCCAACCGAGAGCCATCACCACGGCAAGGACTCCCTTTCTCACCCAGCTGTGGACTATATTGCATCTGACATGATGAGCATCTCTTGAGTCTACCTTTCAAATTTTCGGCAAACCATTTTCTCACTGTCCTTCACAAAGTTGACATTTTCGGCAGCATGATAGGAAAGATGTCATGTCGGCTGCTTTTCAAGTTGTTGTCACAGTGGTTAGCACCAGTTCTGTCATCTTTGCTTTCCTCACAATCCCCCATCTTGAGCCATGTCACAAATAATAATACTTCCAATGTTTTTGTCAAATTTCAAATACTATAACCCAGCTGCACATCTTCAGATTTACTAGTTATGTTAATCTTTGTTGCTCATCTTCCCAGAAGCTGAAGCATTAGGAACTCATTAATTAGTGACAAATGCAGGATATACATAGAACTGGAAAAACACTACCCAAAGCCTTGCACTTAATTTATTAGCTCGATAATTTTGAAACCTAATTAAATATTCAAGTCAAATATACTTTGGAAATGTACTCCTTTCGAGGGAACATATTTATTTTCCCTTTTGCAAGAACACACAGGGTATATAGCTTAGCAGCGCTATAATTTAAGATGCACTTCTGTGCTCTAGACAATTCCAGTACATCGCTGATGGGGCTGAAAAACAAACCCCAGGAGAAGCTCGAGTCGCACCAGCTCGTTCTGATGCTCATCGGCAATTTTGTTTTCAGCAAAGTTCTCCTGCTCAACTTTGAGATTTGCTATTTGATCTCAGGGACAGAAGCTCCGACCCCATGCAGCTGGAGGAAACGCATCTTCTCACATGCAACCCACAACCACTTCGTTATCCCGCTGTGATGGGGCATGAGAGGAGAGCAAATGGGGGAAAAAAAAGTTGTGTGTACACAGTATACACAGAGACACGAGGGCCAAAATGGGTTTGGGTCTATGAATTCAGGTCAAGAAACAACCTAAACGTCTCCATCTGTGCAGAGACACAATTTCATCCCATTCTCTAGAGCTCCTGCTCAAGGACGCTCAAGGTGTATGGCAGAAGTTGTGGGAAGAGAGGGAAGCAGAAGGGCAAAAAAGGCAAGAAAAATAAATAAGGAAAAATTTAATTATAAGAAAACAAGTTTCTGATGACTCCTTCTGCTGTAGATTCACTATGCTGGCTCTAAACTAGTAAATTCCCACTGTAAATATTTCACATGAAAAGTTTTAAATGCTGCTTTCCTAATCCCCCACCCCTTGTTTTTAAGTTTTAAGCCACAAAAACAATATCATCAACAAAGCAGGTGGTGAAATTAAAAAAGCAGGGTTACAATTTAAACGGCAAAAATGATAGTCCTTGTTTAGCTTAGATGGTTTGTGCAAATTCCGGGGTTAATTATAAATTATAATTAGGACCTGTGATCCTAAGGCCACTGCTTTATTCTACAAGCCCCGCCTCCCCCCATGCCCTTTTCTAATTATACCCAGTGCCCCCAGGGGTAGTTATGCTGCTAAAACAAATATATCAAAATGATTTTTTTAAACAAAGACTAATATACGAAGCAATAGCACGCATTTGTATGCAATTATAAATACAGAGTAGAGCTCCAGTGGGTTAATCTCTTTGACATAAGCCTGTATGAAATACCACGGCGGCTTACAAATGAAAAGACGTATCATCTTTTACACCTTTTATGCTTAACTTGTCTACACTTTTTTTTAACTGGGGAAAACATTGCTTACACGTAGCAAACAGATCTTTGCACGCACTGTGAGCCCTGGCATCCAGAGCCAAGGGAAAAAAAAACAATGTCAAAAACTGATGCAAATAATTTGATTTTTTAAGTAACAACTCAAATATAAAACACGTGCTGCCTTCAGCTCCCTTGCTGGTTGCCAGGTGCAGCACATATGAGCTAGGCAGTAAACAGCGATGATTAGTGCCTTGGACGGCATGTGTCAGGAGAGGCAAGACTCGCCTGCGCGAGGTCCCACCGGTTGCGCGGGGTCTGGCTCTGGGGACGTGGGCAGGACCACAGCTGCCTGCCTGCCGCCTCCTCCATCTCCCCCAGCAAATCTGACCTGAAAGAGCCCACCTGTTTTGACCCCCTTGGAAAAAAAAAAAAAAAAAGCTTATTCAGCAAACATTGATTTTCGCCGACTGGCCCTTTCTTCTGGGAATTCACACCGTGCGTGAAACGGCGGTTCAAAGCCCTTTGTTCTGCCCGCTCTCCTGGGCGCTGCCCCAG